AGTACGTTTGCAGCTAAACATGTTGATCTCGCTAGGGTTTCGTCTAATAGATACAACTATACCCAATCTGTCTGTGTTATCTGAAGACAGTAAGCATTTATTACTTATTTACCCATATGCTGTTATAAACCTGTAAGACAGACAGGTAAATATTACATTTTACTCTCCCTTTTTCCATATTTGTTTATTTATCTTTTTTTATTTGTTCCCAGAGTTGTAAAATAGTATAGTATTCAGACGTATTTCGTGTTGCAACAAACTGACACTGTACGATCCTAAAACTTGAAAGGTTATTGAAAACGAAGAGTGTCATATTTCAAAAATAAGAAGGTTGCAACCGTCAATATACAGCATTTATCAACAAAGAACTAAGAATACAATGCTGAGAATAAAAGTGTCAATCTTGGATGGTTTTACAATGGAGTTCATAAAAACGTTCTTTTTAATAACGATTTAGGATAGGTTTACTTAAATCTTTTTAATGGTCATCAAATTCTCAGAAGCATGGGTCAATAACGTGCATTTCAAAAGGCAATAAAGCCCCAAAATATCTAAAACATTGGCGCCATAATTCCTTTTGAACACTTCATACAAAGTTGGGGCTGCATGCAATGCAAATATAATAAATAGGTAGATATTACCTTGTGTAATAAGTGAAGACCAAAAAGGTTGGACTGCCATTGAATTTTGTACTGCCACTCTATAATGTACTGCCATTGCAGTGCAGTAAATTGTATTGATTTGTAAACCTCATAATTTCATACAATTGTTAATCGTATACCATGTCGTTGTTGTTTGTTGGTTTCACACTGAAATCTGTCATGTATAGATTCCTGGTGAGCTACAATATGATGGCTCAATATCAAAATATACTGGAGCGACCTCGCATCTTTTTGCATCATATACACGTGTATTCAGGCATATGTAAGAAGTTAAAGAACACCTGATTCATTACTATAATTAATCTGCCATGGCTGGTGGGTATTGCAGCACATTGTGTGTGTTCTTTAACTTTTGTTGAGTAGTACACATCATAATTGCCAGCACCTCATACATCTTTGAAAACACAGTTCATAAAAGATCAGTATTGTCCTGTTCATAAGTTTCAAAGCTGTAAAACTTACACTATTTCATAAGCATCCAAACAAAACAAAACATAGACCTTTAACATCATGACAAGTACAGAGTTCAGAAAAATACTTGCACTTGCAATTGTAGGAAACACTTTTCTGTTACAAGTGGTTTGTTGGAAGCTTGACTTTCGTAAAACGGCGTTGAGAGTAGACTCGATTATGCAGACCTGCTGATGTTAATATGTTTGGCTTGGGGTCTGTGTTCGAGGCACATTGTAGAGTGGCGTAGAGCCTTACCCTCGTAATTACCAGATTCATATTGTCCATGGATTTCAAAAAGGTAAGTGTCCCATTAAATGTAAAGTTATAATTATGTTCAGATCTTTCAATATCAAGTTGCCAAGTTATGGTATTTTTAAATCACAAAATCTGAAGATATATAAATAATGATGTTCATCGCCATTATCATCATGTGTCGACGAGAATGTTTATGTGAAGATCTAATTATATGTTTAAAGATGCATGTATGTTAATACACTTTTACAATGTATAACAATCTCTGTTTTAAGATTAGCTTATTTGTATTCATTTGACGGGATTCTCTGAATCTAGACCGCGATTCGCTGTGCCAGAAACCTATGATTGTGGGTTCGAATCCCGGTTCGCCCCGATTATGTTTCTAGGTTTGTCAGCACCATACCCGTGCTCGTGGGTTTCACCGAAGTGGTAAACGTCTAAGACCTGCATCACTTCGGGCTTTCCTCCCACATTAAGCTGAAAGGCCGTGATATAACTGGAATAATGTTAAAAGCGGCGTTAAACCCAACTCACTCACTCACTCTGAATCTAGATTGATTTGTTGTTTCAAACGTGTCATGCTTAAATGTATATTTAACGAATGCAATTCCAAAACAAATGAAATATATGATAATATATGGGGTGTTTTTTTCTGCTCAGAAGCAGGCTGTTAATAAAATTGAAATGCCAGAGGAATACAGAAGTGCTTCACGTTTGGGGGACATTGGGTGAATACTCCTATTTCAAAACAAGAAACTTGCTGATTATTATGAGTATTATAACAGTATAGACAATAGTGAAAGATTAGGAATTCAGACTAGAGTTCCAGAAACTCAATAATTAATTGTTAGGTAATTGAAATGAAGTTCTAACAGTCTAACAAGCCGCGAAGAGTTACTGCCCTTTTGGATGTCAGCTGCCGAGATTTGCAATTGATTTTTGTAACCCAGATTGATTATCGCTAAAAAGGACTTTATCGTCATAGAGTAATACTAAAACTGATAACCGTACATGACATTTTCTGATATACAATACAATAATATCCCTTCACATCCTTGTTCAGTTAATTAAGTTTCAAGATCTTTTATAAATATTGAAAACAGTAGTGGTGATAATTTTTCGCCCTGTCTGCCATTGAAGATAATTCCAAGTGGAAACGGAGAGGTAAAGCAAAGCTGTGATTCGAGGCACCAAAGATGGTTAAGCATCGGCCCACACGCGTCCGAGTGCTGAGATTGCTGTGAGACTGTCGGAGTAGGTTTCTACTTTTCATTCTGTGAGTCAGTTTTGAAAGTTGTTCAGGGCAACTTAACATTTGATTATTTGTACCCAGAGTGTGTATTTGAATGTCGGTGCTGTTAGTTGGGTAGTGACCTGATTTCGTGATATGCCATCAGGCGGATAGTACTCTGCTACTCCGTAACATGCTTGTGCATTTAGAAAAAGTTTTTCCCGGGTTTGGATCACGACCACCAAACACCAGTTTTCGAGGTCTCCCCGGTCCTTTTCTGTGCTCAATTCCTGAACCATTCTCAATATTCTTCTTAACTCTATACACTGTAGAAAGAAGAGTATCTGTGCTCTTTGCTAATGTAGCAGCATCAGTGATGCCTTCATCATGGAGCTATAGAATCAACCTTCTTTTCTCCTCTGCACTCATTTCTGACATATATCAGGGAAAGTCGTCTGCGCCATAATCAAGGGAGATAACTCTAATTTGCAACTTCTAAAATTGAAAAAGAGTTGCTTCCCTTTGACCATACCTCAATTTTAAACACTTGTCAATATTGATATTTTATGTATGCTTCATTGAATATGACATTAAAATTCTCAATAATTTTGAACCAGACTATATCAATATGATTTGTGAAGTCACCATTATGTTTTGATTGAAGGGATAACTGTCAATGGTTTTGTTTCGGAAAATTGTAGTACGGTATTCCCTACCATCTGCAGATTTATTTCTGTTGAATGTAAGTGTGCTCAGTGGCGACATGTTCATTTCGTTGTACATTCTTGGGCCTCATGTTAAGCCTAAATACACCCTTGAGTGCAGTACAGTGTACAGTACAGCCATAGTAATTCATAAACATATCGGTCCTGTGTAATGATATCTGGTTGTGTTGTTACAACCTGTAACCCTACCTACGGGAGTTCTCCCTTCAATATCACTTCACACATTTCGTTTTGTCTTGTGAGGGGGTGATTATGGTTTTGCGCCGCTTTTAGCCATTTTCCAGCAATATCACGGCGGGGGTCACCAGAACTGGGCTTCACACATTGCACCATGTCGGGAATCGAACCCGGGTCTTCAGCGTGACGAGCGAACGCTTTAACCACTAGGCTATCCGACCGCCCCCGTTTTGTCTTGTGCTTTCAAACTCAGCGATAACTCGCTACAAAATCACCCCCAGGATAGGCATTATATTACCACAGAATGACGGACCTTGTCTACCGTTATTCAGCACACATACTGGTTCATTTACAAAACGCCTACATCTTTATCCTTGTGAAGATTCTGTCAGAACTTCAGCAGCCCCTGCTTGTCTGTAGAGGAAACTAATGAGATGGGGTGGTCAGGCTCGCCGACATGGTCGATGTATGTAAGCGTATCCCAGTTGTGTAGATCGATGCTCATTGGGTCATTAACTGGAATGTCTGGTCCAAGCTCTATTATTTATAGACCTCAGTCATATCGCTGGAATATATCTCAGTGCGGCGACAAACAACACATAATGCAAGCCTACATCTCGAGTTGAAGTAGATGAATGGATGCAGTACCACATCTGTAATGATTTGTTGAAGGTTTAACATACAAACGCACTTTTTCTGATTTAAATTAAGAATTTCTGTATTATATTATGATACACACAATCTTGACTTGTGAACAAGATAAACAATTAAATATTTATACTTATCACACTTCCTGTTACTTAAGTTTGTGATAAGTTTGTATTTGTTTGTTTGTTTTTTAACGACACACCATATTTTAGCTATGTGACGGGGTCCTGGTAATAATCAAATCTGGACCAGTGAATCCAGTCTTTGATATTGTGATCAACAACCCACGCTGTTAGGGTACAATGACACACAGCCAAATCACCCGAACCACTGAGTCACCTCACATGACAGCGAGGGAGCAATTGGAACCCGGAATGCCCAATATCAAATATTACCTTATTCAAATCTTTACAACAAAGATTGGTTGGTTGATTTGTTGTTTAACGCCGCACTCAGCAATATTCCAGCTATATGACGGCGGTCTGTAAATAATCGAGTCTGGACCAGACAATCCAGTGATTTATATCATGAGCATCCATCCACGCAATTGGGATCGATGACATGCATCAACCAGGTCAGCGAGCCTGACCACCCGATCCCGTTGGTCGCCTTTTACGACAAGCATAGCCTTTTACAGCAAGTATGGGTTGCTGAAGACCTATTCTACCCCGGAATCTTCAAGGGTCTTACAACAAAGAACTGCTTCACACATATATTCACATGTCTGGAATGGAACTATCCGACGCTAACGAGGCTATTCATACTGAAGTTCACAAAACAATGCCAAGGCAAATGTATTTATTAATGCGTCCTATTAATACAGAGAAAGACATATCTTACAGTTGAAGGGAAAATGTTAAGGTAATCAATGTTCTCGTGCAAATGATACAAATAGGGGTCAAATAGATCAATACATTGTGATATGTTACGGTAATTCAGAATTAACATATAGTTTTTTCTTAGTTTCAACAGTAAATGCACAATCGTGTTACTGGATTTTCCGATTCATCGATCACTTGTCCGTCTGTTTTGTTTACAGGCCGCCGTAGCATGGCAGGAGTACTGCTATGTGGCGTCAGGCAATATTACTTGCTTTTATATGCAAATTACGAAATTGTGGGAGCTACCGGTGATGCATGATATGCTTACCAATTAGCGAACACCTGGTGTCATTACTGATCTTCAGTGGTCCATTCACATATTTTAACAGCTATTTTGCCCTATACGATAAATGGCATCTGTTGTGGCGGATGATCTAGACTGGTTATTTTCTTGTATTGACATCAAGACATCTGCTAATAGGAAATGTAATAACTCTTGCATGTCTGACATTATCTGCATGCACACCAATGGAAACTACATGAGTGCCCAACAAATGGAAGACATGACGATCAGGAAACTCAGAGTTGTCGTCAACATACATGTACCAGAGAGCCATTCAGACGATTTGTCTCCTGGGTTCCCGGTGTTTTCAAGGTCTCCCGACTGACGGGTGGTTTCAAGGTCTCCCGACTGACGGGTGGTTTCAATGCCTCCCGACTGTTGGGTGGTCTTAATGCCCGATTGATAGGTGGTTTCACGGTCTCCAGATTCATGGGTGGTTTCAAAGCCTCCTGCCAGACGGGTGGTTTCAATGACTCCCGATTGACGCGTGGTTTCAATGACTCCCGACTGACGGATGGTATCAGTGCTTTCCGGTTGACTGGACGTCGGATACGTGTTAGGCTGCGATGTCTCCTTCAAACATCCTGAAACATTTCAAAACATTTCAATAAACACTTTCTTAAAGTTTTGAGCGTTCAAGGTTGACATTAATCTTTCAAAATATTATGAAAGAAAGGAGAAGTGAATATTTGACATTGCCAAATTTGATCAATATCTGAAATGAAAATAGACGTACCTGGGGAGTAGATCCATGATCTCTCATTTCCAGCCACTTCACAAACAAGACAAGAGTTGTCTGGCCTTGGGCTACTCTCAGGGATACATTTAGAGTTGTACATGCAGTACGCGCCCTGTAATAATTTGTTTAGGGTTTAAGATGTTAACAATGATAGTTTTTTTGGATTGAAATAAACACTTTCTAAATTGCCTAATGCACACGATCTTGACTTACAGACGAATGAAATGAACAATAAAAAATTATTACATTATTACAAGAGTAATGACATTCCCTATTACATAAGTTAGTGTTTTGTTTGTAACTTGAATATGTGATATTAAAAGGAAGTTCCCCGAGGGATAGGTTGTGCTTGAACATACATGATGTGAAACTTTTTGTGAAAACATTTCAAACTTTATTAATACCTGTATAGTCCACTGTCTGGTGCTCTCATTTATCGAAATACAGGTGGAATCATACACCAGCAATACAACCCCATTGCTATAGATGTTTCCTGTGTTAGCCATAGTTATGTTGTATGCTGTAACTTCATTGCTAGTTTGCACTGCTTGTCGCTTCACACGTTTGGGAAGTTCACAAACTGCTTCGTTGATACCTTCATCTCTTGCTACAGTTGTCAACATGTCTCCGTTTCCAGTTGTTCCGTCTCCATATACCTGCAACACATAAGCATCTTGTATTTGATTACGAAACAAGACTGCATCAGTAGTTGTCCTTGAGTACATTATTAAAAAAGGTTGACATGCAACGTTGTGGGAATTCCGTGGAAGACGTAATGGCCACGAGCTTCTAATACTCGTGTGATGAGCCGGCTGAATTTGATTAGAGGCGAGGTAGTGCCGTAGTCCCCGGTATGGTGGCCTACCTTTGGTTGCTGATCATATATAGTCCAATTTTAAATTGTATTGTATAATCTGATACAGTCACAATATTGCTGAAATATTGCCGATGTGACTTAAATATTAAATCACTGTAGATCGCCAGCAGCCAAAGTTACATCACCATACTAGGGACCATGGACACTTGCAGTAGGTAAGCTACCTACATGGTACCCTAGGAGGATTTACACCATCATTTTGATCACTGGCAAAGTTAACAAGTTGATCCAGCAAGTAAAATGAGCCGCATACTACGCTAAATGGAATGACATGCATAAACATACCTTGAATCATTTAGAACTTACATAACCTCTTAACGGGAAATTATTTTAGGTACACCCGTTAATAACGACTGCCAACTTATTAAAGATGAATCTGTATACCAAAAATATTTGTTTCTAATTTAAACCAATTAAATGAGAATGAACGATATTGAAAAGATCCATAACTGATGTTGTGCTGAAACATTTCATGATGGCGTCATGCACATTGTGGGAATACTGCCGTCTACCGCATTTAACTGCATTCTCTAACGCAAACAGTTCACATCGCCAACTGGTAAACGTCCTTGAAACGTCATGCCACTTTCATTGTACTACATAGTAAGGTGTTGACAATATTTTCTCATTATACAACAAGAGTCATCAAAAAGATGACATATCCCCCCGGCAGCTGTCTGTAAAGTAACCACAAGTAAATGTGCAATTCTATATGTAATGAGTCAAGAGTTAAATGTTCTTTAAGAAGCACGCATTGTTTACCAACAAAAGATCCACCATGGTCGCATCCATATGAAATGGAAAGTAAAACGTGTGTTTCTGTGCGGTTTTTTGTATGCAAACAAATGACAAATTACAAGAAACAAGCGTATAGTCAACGAAGTCATCTATATCCCCCACCCATTTTAACACGTTATGGTCCCTAACCAGGTAACATACCCAACATTTCGCTTAGCCCATTTCAAAATAGCTGCAATGGAAATTCTAGAATAAACATTTCTAAAACTCCTTAATATCAAATGGCACCTGTTCAGTATGTACTTTATATATGGACATGCGATGTTTGGCAAGGAAATATTTAACAGTTTATTTGTTATACTCCATAAGTGAACCCACCCTATATGAAAACTTAAATCAAACTTGTTGCCATGGAAACGTAAGAAATAAAAAAAATAAAACTTCCTTAATAGCAAAAGGCACCAGTTCAGTGTGTGCCTGGTAGACATGCAAAGTTTTATAAGAAAGTATTTAAAGGTTTTTGAGTTACACTCCGGAAACGAACACCACCCTTACAGAACCTAAGTCCAACTTGTTACCATGGAAACGTAAAAAATAAAAATTTCTAAAATTCCTAAATAGCAAAAGGCACAACTTAAGTATGTGACTGATAGGTATGCCAAGTTTCGATCAAATACACTGAATTATTTTCGAGTTCTGCCCCGGAAAAGGATATGATTTCGGACGGACAGACAGACATTATATGCCGGGGGGGGGGGGGGGGGGGGGATAAAAAGACATATCTCCTTTGTATCTCTACCATTGTTGTAAGCAGTCCAACAGATATGAGGTTACAATGAGGTAAAAGGTGGACGTACTTTCATTTACAGAGTTAGTAAAACCTAAACACCACGGTACTTGCACTGCGTTATATTGCAATAAACAGAGATATGTTTATGTGAGACTCGGGTATCTTTAATTCCACGCCAACGTTGAATCAAACTTACACATACCTTTTATGTAAAAGATTATCCACATATTGTAAAATGTAAATGATTCTTCTCATGGTGAACGAAACCAACAATGTTTTACCCGTACAGGTGTGTGTTGTAATTTAGTGACCGACTGAGTTAAACGTAGGATCACATTGGCAATATATATGACAATGCAATAATCAGCTTCACCTTACCATATATTTCTCAATCCGACACGAAGCATTGGGTGAACCAGTGAACACCTCTCCGTACACTGCCAGCTCTTCACAGCTACTGGTGGCAAGGTCGCAGTGTCCTCCGTCTTCCACAGTGTACAGATCTGGGGGCTGGATCAGGTCCACCGAACAGTCAGCTCCACCATAACCAGAGTCACAAACACATGCACCTAATTTTTAGAAAATGCATATCCTGGTAAAAGTATGTGTCGTTGAAAGTAATTGAACTGATTGTTGTAATTGATTTGGTAAAAACAAAATATGTCTTACTTGTATACATTCATTTTGTTATCCCTATTTATAACGCAGCTAACAGATTAGGTATGATGGAGATTTTGGCATTGCCTAGTTTTTTGATGATTTGACGCACAAGACACCAAGTTTGGAAACAAAACATTTGTCATCTCAACAAGCAGTAACGTGGTGGAGACCCTTTTACCACAGTCCCCATTGGACAGAGCATACTGGAAGTTAAACTATATACCATCGGTACAGGTGCCCTGTCCACTGCAGTCATTTGAACAAGATTGAGCTGTCACCATCTTTGCAACAGGAAGTGACATCGGGGCTTTAGGATCAGGTTTACTTAGAGTCGGGTTGACAGCTACTTCATGGAAACATGGGCCCCGGACACTGCTCAAGGACATGTTAGAAAACGCTGTTGTTTTGCTTCCCTGAAAATAAGTTTCATTGTCAGACAAAAGACATCTTTGTAGGTTTAAAAAGAGTTAAATCAGGACAAGTTGTTTGTTTACATGGTACCACTATGATATTGCAGTTCGGCGTAAAACCTGATTTTGGACGATTTAAAACTGTGCTCGTAATCAGATACAAGAGGCACAGAAGCTCACCTTTATTTGAGGACATAAAACCGAAGTGGTATGGATGGATTACAAAGTAAGAACAAAATCAACTTGTAAAGTTGTGAAGTTTTAGGAATTAAATTGTTATTGCAAAACTGTTAAGCAAAGATTTTTAAGACAGGGTGAGTTGATCACTTTAATTGCTTAATAACTATCAGTCCCACAATTACTGATTTGTAAAGAAATATACAAACAAATGACAGGTTATTTGATTGGTTCATGTTGTTTCCATATTGCCAGTAAACATTTCAAATTATACATAATACTAACAAAATCTCTCAAATGTACATGTAATCACAATCACTTGAGTCTGCTGATTTCATTAACAGTGTTAGGAGATAGGTAAGAACAGAGAATACAGAGGATCTGCAGTACACTAGCATTTCTGGGAATACTGAAATGGCCATGGGGCCATATTTGAGTCTGTATATTAACATTACATTAGTCTCAGGCATGGATGTTTGAAGAGATGGTTGGGAGATTTGATTGTGAGGATATTACTGGTATGGTGTAGTAACAACAATTGCAACTGCCCATGCCCAAATGGCAATAAAAGGTATATGGCAGGGAATCTAGGTTACCAGGTTTGACAAGTACAGCATATTGTTCACACATGAACTGAGACTGTATGAGTACTAGCGCCGTGCTCCGCGGTTTACTCAAAGGTTAGTAGACATTATTTATGGCATAGTGATATGTTGTACAGAATATTGGTAACGATAAATTGGGATTATTAGATATTTTTTACATTGAGAAGACAATTTTTTCTAAAATATTTTTTGAGATCAGGAGTTCACTTGGATATTTGTGTTCTGCAGGACCTTTCGGCTTTTCACCAAAAATAATAATGACGCCCTCTCACAATGCGCTCACTGGGGTACCACCTTCAGTCTCATGGATTTGGTTTGTTGTTTAACGCCACACTCTACACAATTCTGTAAATGATCGTGTCTGGGCCAGACAATCCAGTGATTGAAACATGAGCATTGATCCACGCAATTGTGATACGATGACATGCATCAACCAAGTCAGCGAGCCCAACCACCCGATCCCATTAGTCGCCTTTTACGACAAGCATAGTCGCCTTTTACGGCAAACATGGGTTGCTGAAGACCTATTCTACCCCGGTCATTTACGGGTGACATGCTATTGTGATAGATAAGCTCAAGATATGGTCTGAATCGTACAATCGACTCTGGTTTCAGAAGATATTTCTATTGAATAAGGAACAGGTTTGGTCGCATTATTTATTTGATCATCTCATGCCTAAATACACAGAATAACTTAATTTGATTTCTGTTGCCGTTTTGCTTACGACAATTCAGTCATATGGGAAGACTCTTAACGTATTTACAGGCAAGGTATCATACACTCGTTATAGAACTGCCCCAAATCTCTAATGATCTGACTCTTTTTGAAAATCACTAGTTTTGTGACGAGAATATGAGGCCAACATTGAATTTCATTTATCGCATATAAGATGACACTTTGCATGATATATTAGAATGGGTCACTTAAATCAAAAACATTATCCCTCAACGTCCAATTCCTGGTTCTCCGATGCGCTCTAAATGAGAATTGTCATCTTTGATTATTCCAACAATTTATTTAGTACAGCCCATGAAACTGACGTGACATAATAAGACAACATGTGTATTGAAGGTGTAGCCTGTAAAATGTCACAAGGTTATATGGGTTCATATACGTCAAAGGTAATGACAGAATGACATACTGAAAATTAGTTTCAAACCCCTTGCACAAATTGAGGTGGCATCACTAGAAGCTTCATTGTTCCTGTGGTTTCTGATAAGAAGATGTTTACAATGGACAATTCATGAATATTTTTATTTCCTGCCAGCAGTCATTTGTATTCCGTTCAAAGACGATCTGAAAGTACATAAGGTTCTGCTAATGCTAACATATAACCTCTATTAAGTACCCATAAAAACCATAAAAATTCTTGAAGACAAATTTGATTATTAAAATGATTTCACAACCCTTTTTCCATTATGGTGGCCAATAAGGATATTTCAAAATATTTCTTTGTAAAGAAGGGTCTTCTGTGAAATATTGGTTCGTTCCGATCGTTTGATGAAGTCTGTTTACATTCAGTGCTCAAAGACAAAGAGATTGACAGACGAATCTTTGGGAGACGGATGAAGACATATCCATTCACTTTAACAGTGTCATGATGATAACAGTGAGTGAGTGAGTGAGTATGGTTTTACGCCGCTTTTAGCAATATTCCAGCAATATCACGGCGGAGGACACCAGGAATGGGCTTCACACATTGTACCCATGATAATAACATACAATGGTTTTGTTATATATATTAGTTTACCATTTTACAGGGCAGGACATACTGATTTTGCAATATAACACTTATATTATGATATCGGTCTCTCAGAAGTTAAATGAGTCAATCATGTGTCGTTTCCTGTACCTGTAATGTCACATCTCGGATATGTAAAACGTCAGGAGAAATTGAATAAAGAACTGTCATTTGGTCTTACCAATATGTCCATGACACACTCCTCCTTGCTGCCGTTGACATTTACACCCGGTACAGTTTGACAGATATTTACTGTATCAGATTCTCCAAACAGCTGGTCGCAGAAATTCTTAGCTTCTTCTTCATTTAAAACTGGTAGCGCTTGCTGAAAGTAGAGATAAGCTAATATATTGTATTTTTACAAGTATATTTTGAAATGTTCTCCAGATGCATTGAAAAAATATTTCCTAATATGTAAGAAAATCAGATTATAATCACGTTATTTTATTTGCGCACACTGTGTGACATTTCTTCACTATCTGCAAACCATGTAGTGTACAGTCAAGAAAGAGAACATTTCGTTAATAATTGTAAGATTCCTGTAAACATTTAGTCCAAATTCAACACAAAAAGGAGTCAGGGTATTTTGTTTATTACTGGGGCAATATTTCAGCTTTTACACGGCGTTCTGTCAATAATATATTCTGGAACAGGTACACTATTATTATAACATTATCAACAATCCATGCCAATGGACAAGCTATTAGTCAAGTCCAATCTTGACTACTTGATCCAAGTTATTATAACCTAAGGAACAACAATGGAGTGTTGTAGTTCTTTTCTTACCTATGTTAGAGAAATCTTTCTCTGACAAAACTCCAAATGCAAAACGGGATCGGGTGGTCAGGCTCCAGACTCGATTATTTACAGACCGCCGTCATATAGCTGGAATATTGCTGAGTGCGGCGTTACAACAAACCAACCAACCATTCCAAATGCAAAACATGAAAACGTAGGAAAATGTCCTTTCAAAATCACAGTATTTTAACTTACAATGATATTTTCACTATGCTTGATCAATGTACCCGAAGATTAACATATTCATGTGAATGTACATTCATACATATCAAACTTCTTGGTATGTGTTGTCGCTACTTATTGTGTTTTCATTTCCACGTTATAATTGAATATTCCTTCTAGTAAGATTACCCTTTTCCTCCTTGATGTTGCTGAGCCCATCAGTGCCATTCGTTTCCTCCGTTTGGAGATTGTACATTGAACATCTGGTTTGACTACAGAAGAGGGTCTGACGGGTCCACATCCTTTTGTTCCAGACATAGCGGAACAGGTGAGATGTTCCTTGATCCCCGTTCCTTCACATGTACAATATTGCTGAACAGCAGTATATGTGTCCCGAAGTCGTTTTATGTTGTCCTCATCAAATAAATCGTCTAGAACTGGCACCCTTTTTTAAGAACAAAATATAAACTCAAAACAAAGGAGTTTCTTCAAAGATGATTTGTTGTCATTTGGAAATGAATCATTATGGTTAAGCGGAATGCAGAATTCTGATCCTCTTCCCCCATGCAAGTATCATCATACTACATATATATATTCTATAATAACTATGCACTGGAGAAGATAAATCAAGGTGTCATTCTATATACAAGATAATAGTGCGGGGCACTGTAGCTCACCTGGATTATGTAGTCAACAGTTTAAACAAATAGATGGCCGCTAATCAAAAGTTGCAGTCACAACTGATATTCAAATATGTTTGGACCCGTGAAGATCCGGGATAGAAAAGGTCTTCAGCAACCCATAGTTGCGATAATAGGCGACAACGTCTTGAGGATCTGTTTCTTTACGCATATGAATCAGAATTTCATCACAGAAGTCAAAACAAAGTAATATGCCCAAGAAGTTTAACTTAAGCTTCATTTATGTCGTTGATCTGATGTCGTTCAATAACCATGAAATAGCCAATTCCCTTTCACTGATTGACCCACCTGAACTAGACAAAAAGGAGACCGGTGAGACCGCCTCATCTGTTTCATATTAAGATTTATGCATAAAGATTCAGAGTGACAAAATGCTTTCCACACGACTTGTATGACCAAAGGGTTGACTTCAACTTTCCAATTGTCAACTTTCGTTTCATGTCGAGCAATATTCCAGCAGCCCAAGCCCTCTATGTCACAACTTTTGAGACGCAATCGAGGATGTTGTTTCTACCAAGATAGAAGTTGGTTACAACATTCAAGGCCTCAGTAAAGCTTTCAAAAAAATATATGGACGAGCTGTGGAGGACATTTACAAATTTGACGCATCAGTGACAAAAAATGATGTGCAATGCATTCTCTATTTCGACTTGCACCATTTATTCCCGTGGTTTTTTTCAGGTGAACATTTTACTTGCCTTTGCCTTTGTTTGTTTCGCGAATACCTGGTATCATCACTATTTGACAGGGATTCATAAACACGCGATACAGTGATAGATACGCTAGTAATGTGTTCGGAATCGTACAATCGACTCTGGTTTCAGCACATATTTCTATTGAATGAGGAACAGGTTTTGTAGCTTTGTTTATTTGATCATCTCATGCCTAAATACACAGGATAACTTCATTTGATTTCTGTTGCCATTTTGCCAAATACTTAAACATAGGAATATACATTTTCAAATGTTTACAAATACTTAATGATGTAATATAAGTGAAGCACTTCGTTTATCATAGTTTTCAGAACAAAACAATTTCGTCGGGACTATTTGTCATCACATTCATTCTGGGATACTAGACATGCAAAAACATAACTTGGTTATGAACATTCCTGAAAGTCATGTTATAGTACACAAGATTATGATTACGTTCTACCCAAGTTGTAGCCATGTTATTTGCCTCATCTGCGTGTACCAGTATCTGTGATAGAGGTTATGGGGCTACACTTCGGCTTCATGATCGGCCTAACACTTTACATTTACAGTAAAATCACAGTTACTGAATACGTTTTGATGGTTTGAAATGAGCACCATCAGAGGCAAGGCAAAAGTCTGAAGGTTGTTCAAGAACATCGTTATTGCACAGGCTGCAATATTTTGGAATTGCACTTCACATAGCGTAGACACTGTTTTAGGCGACTTGATAATGGGCAGCCATACATTTAAGGTTATCGGTGTGTTTGAGTGTCCACTTTGTCGGCTGAACCTGATTAATGTGGGACAAAGAGTCTACCAAAATATATTCAGATGATTGGAAATGTGACGGGCTGTTACTGACCCAAGAGAGCAACTTCGGTGCAAACTCAACAAACGTGAAGAGTCGATGGAAAAGGAAAGATGGACAGAACCAAAAGATAACTCAAAATCATTAGGGAAAAACTACATCGACCAGACAACCAGCGTTACATACACTAAGGTCAGGAGTGTTCACTTACGACAAAACTACTAAAGTGAAACATGAAAATGCAGCCTTCACAAATCACTGAAAGTCTTTCAATGTAGTTATTTTGACTCTGTCGGTCCAATGCACAAGTCCTACAAATGCTTGATCAAAACTAAGAAATGTATATTATTGTAACCAATCAGATATCTGCGTTCCATAACAATCTGGCGTCATTGCATTCTTCCTTTTGACAATTGCCAGTCTTAGTTTAGGCTTCGTATATTTCTTTGCTTAATAACAGAAATAGGATTTTTCTCACTAAGGTGAAGATGTCATGGTTCTCATTAATGACAGGGTGTACATTATCCACTATAAAGCTATTTACCACATTCTGAACATTCCCCTGGTGAATCCGTGTGCGATTTGGTCCCAAGTAATCTATGCTGGTAGCAAGAGGCAACGAAACAGATTGATTGATCAGACTTTGCGACTTTGCCTTGACTTTGATATCATGTCATTGTACCCCAACGGCGCATATATTGGTTCACAATACCCACCTCTGGATTGGCATGATTTGATTATATACTGGCCGCTGTCTTTTGCTGGAATATAGCTGAGTGCAGTGTCAAACAAAAGTTAATAATCTAGTCACACAAATTAAATGTACCGCTCCGAATGCTTTGTTTGACCTCATCAAGAACAATATATATCTGAGAAGTTTAATTAGGAAGTAATATTACAGGTGACGGAGAGATATGTGTAAATGCATTAAGAGACATCATCATTTGTGATTTTCTCTTCCATTTCAGAAGTCCTATTTCGTAGGTGGCATCAAGTGACATTTACATCATTTAAATCCGCTGTCTTGCAATGATTTACGATTCCCTGTGTACAATGAGTCCCGACGTAAAACGACAACCTCTGTCAACGGGAACTGTGATGACCCACTTGAGAGCAACGGGAATTTCGTTTCGACAGGAGAGTCATCATACGTCCACTACTAGTAGATCACAACCAAAGGTTCTATTTGGCATGGTGGTTAACAGGACTGGCTTAGAATCTGTGAAGATGGTCGGACAAAAGGAGGTTCCTGCTCCATATAAAAGAATGTCGACTGGGGGTTTGGAGGCACGGGAATACGACCTATACACCAAGCAAAAGCTGTCCAAAGGTACCATACAGGAGAAGCAAGGTAATGCTTTTTGGATGTATGCCACATAATTGTAAGCTGGACCTGGTCACCAAAATAGGCAACGTCACAAGTAATCAGTACATCTGAGGTGTCCTGCAACCAGTTGTTGTCACCCATTTTGACAAGCACACCCTTGTCACAAGACCTCTGTTCATGGATGTTAAATACCAGACCACATCGTTCCTGGCTAGCGACAGCTGTCTTGGCCAACAATGAGTAGAGATCTGAATCTCACTGGAGCACACTTGGCACATGCTTAGGCGTCATAGACAGGCAAAAGAGCCTCCTGTACTGCGTGAATTGGAAGCAGCTCTGCAACAGGAGTGGCTTTAGTTGCCTGTTCAGCAGATACGATGTCTGAATAGAGTGGAGACTGTCTTCAAGGTACTTGGAGGATTTACTCGCTACTGAAGCTTTGAATTATCTTGGACTTGTTTGTATCAATTTTTAAATCAAATTGTTGTGTAAAGTATGAACAGGGATGTTGTTGTGGAATGAAAACATCGCCAGTGGTTGTGCTACGACATCATGATTAAAGTCTAACCTCAGCTGACAATGAGTGAGTGAGCGATTTTGGTTAACCGCTGCTTTTAACAGTGTTCCAGTTATATCACGGCGTGTCAGCTTAATGCGGGAGGAAAGCCCTAAGTGATGCAGGTTTCGGGCGTTTACCACTTTGGTGAAACCCACGAGCACAGGTATGGTGCTGACAAACCTAGAAACATAATCGGGGCGAACTGGAATTCGAACCTACAATCATATGTTTCTGGCATGCCCAAAGGATGCATCTCTGCACCGCGAATCGTTGCGCCTTAGACGACTGGGCCACCCGTGCCCTAAAGCAGACAATAAGAAGTGGTTTCTTATTGTTAGATGATTGTCAAAGATCACATTTGTTTATCCGAGTTCATTTTGTCAGTACTGCCATTCCAGTACTTGTTTCATAAGTCATTGAAATATGCCTGGGGTAGCCCTACCTTTTCCAGGTGTGTATAATTATGAAATGATCCTTCTTTGTAGGGCAATGATTGATTCTCCGCACTGTGAATAGTTTCATTATGGAATGTGTCATTTAAACAACTAGTAGCTGACATGTTAGTTAAAGATCAAGCATACACATACCTCCAAGATTCAACAAGTTCTTTAACTGAATTAGCTGTTTCTCCACTTCTCTTGATCATGACATTATTTCTGGATGATGACAATGTTCCACACATTCCCCGAGTGTTATTTACATCCCGTACGGAGGGATATATTTTCACATTGAGAAGACTATTCCATATGTCGAGGGTCAGTTCCAAGCGTGCCCCTGTTGGTAGGTGAATCTGAAAACAAACTTATTATATTGTACCACATACAATTTACCCTATTTACTTTAATTTAAAACAATATGGTGTCCCCTATAGGGCAAAAAATAAACAATCTGATTAAGAGATATATTTGTATATAGATATCAATAAGGCCCATATTATTATCTGAAGGTAAAAAAATACATTACCTTTTACAAATTATGAGAATAAATCAGTTCAATGGTAGATGTGAGCTTAGAAGTTAGGTCATACTATAGCGGTAATCAGCTGATCAATGACTGCTGTCAAATTGAGCTGGTCACTGTGGCAATTTGAACAGCACTCCCATTAATAAACCCCTGCAGGTTGTAATTCGGTTAGTACATGGGTACTAGTGCACTCGATACAAACCGTCAAAATTCAGTATTGAGAAACATTGTGTCTGGTCTTAGCTTTATTCTTTATAAGTATATCCAGCACATATCATCGTCAATCCATTCAGATATATACCCTGACCCATTCGCCTCCAAAGCTTCGTTTAGGGGCCAGTTCGAAGTCATCCCATTTAATTACATGATACTAGCTATAGGAACTGTGTATAGGGGAAGTAATGATGTCACAAGGACCAAATTCGTGTTATCATGTACGTTCTCAAATACAAATGGGGACTCCTGTTAAACAACGCACTCAACAATATTCCATCTATATGACGGCTGTCTGAGGCAACCAAGTCAGTGAGCCTGACCACCCGATCCCGTTAGTCGCCTTTTACGGCAAGCATGGGTTGCTGAAGACCTATTCTACCCCGGGCCTTCACGAGCCTGAAAGGAAGTGAGATATTTTTAAGCTTTACGCATGAGCAAGGGGCTTGGGATTGCTGTCTTAACTAATTATGGTTGACTATAGTTGACAGTAAATATGACTTTGGGTGAAAATTCTTTAGATTTTAATAGTTTGATGACAGACTAAGTAATGAATTCCTGGCAATGATGTAAACGAGGTTTGTACCTGTTTCGGCAGAAAATCTAGACTGGTTTTTCACTTCCATTGACAATTGATATTGTATTTGTCAGAACTATAACCGTTATGAACAGTTATCAGAAGAAAGATCAACTCTGAAACATGACTGCTCGAGATCGTTTTGGAACCAAAACCTATTGCCGGAACACAACCGAAACCTTGCACATGGAAAATACAATTCCTCCGTGCTCGTTGGAAGTGGGTCAGTCTTGATTTTGATACTTCAGTGAGATGTTGTCAAATTGCTCTGAGCCATTAGTATTGTTGATTTTCATTATTCACAGTAACACATGAGCTCTCTACTCTCTGCTGCATTAATGCAGTTTTTGTCATAGGATGGGGAATGTGTCATCTACAGCATGATGTACACAATTGGCACGCTTCTAGCTTTTGGAACTCCTTGTTCAATGTGTCTTAGTCTGTGTTTTGTAACTTTTGGAACACTTCTAAATGTAAAATTGCTGGCCCTGCACAGTGCGCCCCAGGACAACAAAGTCCAGGATCGAGTAATCAAAGAGTGAGTGAGTGAGTTGAGTTTAACATCGCTTTAACAGTATAGTAATCAAAGACCAAGCACTGAGACAGCATTCTCAGTATTTTCAAAATGATGTGCTTTGAGAAGATTTAGAAATTGTTGTATCTTGGCACATTCCACAGGCAGTGAACCGGACCGTATAGAAGTCACATGTTCAACTGTTCCACATGTACCTTCAATTGATTTTGAATCAAGAAAGGATTTGATTTAAGGGCTCTCCATCAACTCCTTTGACAACCAAAAATCGGCCAAAAATCAATATTGTGGGCAGATTCCTCATCGGAAGATATTGGTTGTTGGTTGGTTTGTTGTTAAACGCCGCACTCAGCAATATTCCACCTATATGACGGCGGTCTGTAAATTCATATTCATATCATGAGCATCGATCCACGCAACATGCTTTCGTTTAGTTTTTTATCCAGAACCAGTGAATTGTGAGGTAGCCATAATTAAAAAATGAAATTCAGCGCCCCTGCCATGGAGTGTTAACAGAGACAGGGGTGCTATACTGCAGCAAGTAGCTAAAATTGTCAAACAGGGTTAAAAGTCTCATAAGAAATAGAACCCGGAGGTCAATGATGCCATATTGGCCCATGAACGACCGCCTTCCAGCATATGACTCAAGGCAAAGTTGCAATATACTTAAAATGTTTTGTTTTCCATAAGTCCGATGTGGAAATAATCATATATGGAATAGCGTGACCAGCCGATTGACAGAACTGGGCCCATTCTACTACCCGCCGGTCTGCAGTACCTCATTTTCAGATGAGTCCACATTCACTTGGGAGGCATCCTCATGAACGTCATGCGAACGTCAACATTCGGAAATATATGAGATTTGGGGGTGGGCCTGTAAAATGATATTGGGCAGAATCACCATGACTGCCAGAAGGACCACGGGTCAGTACTACCGAGACACTACCAGTACTTTACATGACATGCTGGTGTACGTTTGTCTTTCAAGATGATAATGCTCATGCCCAGCGTACATCTATAATAACTTTGCTCCTCCAAGAGATCACCAGAAATCAATGACCTACCATGAAACCTGACCTACAGACCTAATAGAGCACGCCTGGGACGTGATCGGGAGAAGTGTTAGTCAAAGGCCACCTGCCTCGCCAGCCGAACTGGGACTGTCGTTATGATAGAAGTGGACAAGTCGGAAGATTGGTTCTGACCATCACCACGAATGTTTGAGCAATCGTGGGGGCATCACCCATCATTGATCAAGTCACCTAAAAAATTCCTTCTTTCTTTTTAAACACCACTGTCGGCTTTCCTGACCATCAATATCTTGCCATCGTACGTCCAAAAAGTTCATCAGTTGTGTGTAGGTGGTGTTTCTGGTATGAAATCTCTTGCATAAGCCATAATTGTAAAAAAAATATTTATGTAGAGCAGCAGTGACTGTTAAATATGAACTTTTGCCGGAACTACTTTCTGGGGTTACCTGAATTCTCAATCGATCTTTCAATACTAAAAACGCAAGTGAAGAAAATTAATTCTGTAAAATTACTGAGGTGAACGAAATTGATTTATTGAGCGATAGTGACTTTGATGCCTTGTTTTCGGAAATGGCAGGAATCTAGCACCAATGAAAACAATGTCGTACACTGCTCAGATGTGGCCTGTGGCACAGAGCAAACGCGACTGCTCCTGATCAATCCCATACTAAAACCCCTTTACTATCGCATCGGGGAAAATAATCTAAGATTTTGAGAAACCATAAAACATAAAAGGTAAGGGAGGAAATTTAATTTTAAAAACAACAACCAAAACTTGCCCACCTGTTTTATCGATTGGTCATCGGAGACAAGAAAATATCCGTAGACGGAATTAGAAATATACTATTCTGGTTTCTGAGATGGCCGACCTTCTCCGTGCATTCTAGGACGAGAATGCGACGGCACATGATGAGTGACGGGGCACAGTAATGAGCTGGCATCAGGTCATACAGTAGGTCCATCTCAGGTGACAAGAAACACCAGTTAAGCAAAGTATTACAGCACACTCGACAAATCCCAAATTCCAAATATAACACTCCCTGAAGTTGACAATAAACACTTAACACACAAGTTTCAGAGCTCTCAGTTCAATCCCCACCAGTCCATTCTACATCGTCCGAATTGGTTTGCGATTATCCAAACAAAAGCAATACATTCAACACCAGTAAGTCTAAATTTCATCCTCATGCTCCCGTTTGACTTGAAATGCACCTTTTTACAAACTTAACTGACGTTGTATATAAATCCGCGCTTGAAGGTTGATCTTGCATTGTTGCATCGAGGTCATGTTAATATTATTGTTCAACTTCCTGTAACCTATTTTTAAGATTTGATTTAACCCAAATATTGTTTGTAAATTTGTTCAGAGAATGAAATTATGTTGACATATTTCTAAATAATGTTGTATATATTCAAAGAACGATTTTTTTTTTGCATAACTGAGTATGGGTGGGGAAACATAAGTGACTGAGAGCCGCCAAATACCGACAAAATAACTATGTTGCAATGTTCTTTGGCAAAACCAGAGGACTTCAAATTTAAGCAAACTTTGTTACGATATTATTCGGCAAGACCAGTAAACTACAAAGTATGAAATTTTAAGAATCCAACGTCAGTTTGGATGGGTTCATTGAAGTGTGAATGATTTAAAAGAGCTGTTAGAATCTCTACAGGGATACGTGAAGACAGGATGGGGCCATCTGAGAAACACACTCCACTCTCACTCCCCTACGAGTTCACAATTTCACTGAGGAAATAACAGAATACAAATGCTACCCCAACCAGAAGCCCATACAACATCCATAAAAAAACGTCTAGGAAACAGTAAGGAGATGCAAAAACAACTACTGACTGCAGTTCTGTGGGGGAATTTTGGATAATTGGCTGATGATCGGAGCATCCAAAGTGCGTATGACCTATGTGTCAAGCACATGAAGGGATGGGTTGAACACTACTCTGAGCCCTACTCCTGGAAACAAACCATGGGTGATATAAGCTAGTGTCACGACTATCGCACAATCTCGTTGCTGAGTGATCATGCGGAGTCCTGATACTGTGTATCCCTATTTGCAGTGTGGCTTCAAGGCAGAAACGAATCGAGATGATCTGCTCACTTTCAGGGCTACATGTGCTACATTATGCCACACTTTTGGGATTTCCTTCAATCTCAGGCACGTCAGTAGTGAGCAAGAATAACTCTCCCAGCTCTGATTGTGGATGTGTAATAATAATATCATTTAAACTTCAATAAGAATCAATATATAATATGTCTAAATATCATCTTTCGCCCTCGTGTTTCGCATGAACTATAACAATTCGGGGGCTAACCATCCTCAACCATGCTAGATGACGGTGGACCTTAGTATCCCATGGCCTATACCTGAACATGATCTAGGCCATGGGATACTAAGGTCCACCGTCCCCCCACCCAACCTCCCAACAAAACCTACTTTTTCTGAAACCTTAGTATGTCCTGAACATGAAATCATATGTTAAGATTGAAATTATAGGGATGCACTTCCTGTTTTCATCATATTTGTGGAGGTACCCTCATAATCGCGATTTTGCAATCCGTGTTTAGCGTCATTTTTGTACTGCAACAAAAAGGTCAATAAATGTCTTAACAATTGTCCAATCTCTATGTGTAATATATCAAAATATAGCTAACGTTATTCCAGTTATCATTATGTTATTTTCATTGAAATATAATGATAAGTATAGTGGCTTTTTAACTTTTACTTAGTAGAACACACATATGCAAATTCGCTCCACGCAGATCGCTCAAACTTTCCATAATTGTCTATTATATGGAAAAATGAATACAAGGTAATCACAAAAACAAACACAGGCTATAATCTAGTGATATTATTTTTCAGACTGATGCATAAGTGAGAGAGAGACATGGAGACAGGCAATGAGGTTGAACCACCACCCAAGTTTCGAACGGATGTCCAAAGTGGTGAAGAGGAAACAAAACAAATATGCATTGTTCACATCTCAGGATTACAATATGGAACATTCCAACTGTTTTCTGCTACAAAGGATGCCGAAAAGATACTTATTAAATTGAAGGAGGTACGTGAAATGAAGTCACTGAGTGACACTTCCATGGTGACAACCTCAAAGGAAAGCTTGAGAAACACCAGACGTAGAAGGACAGGTTGTCTTTCTGTATGTTGAACAGCACCGGAAACTTTCAAACCTACGTGAGCTCGCTTCTTCAGATATGATCAAAGAAGTTGGAAGTTATCTGCACAATATTATTCTTGACAGCTTTGCAAAAGCAAAGGAATTGAAATGGCCCCCTTCTGCTCAGGATCTTGGAAACGTTGATGATGTCCTGCCACCTCAACTCCAGAAATTCCTAAACTATGTCCTCACAGATAAAGCGACCACCCACATACCTAAATCATATCGACTAGTCCTTTCAATAGGACAAGACCTCTGTTGTGCAGCAACAAACGAAGAGTGGAAACTCCCAAAGCATGTGTTGATATGCATGACATTTCGCCATCTGTTCAGAAGTGAGTGATTGATAACGCTGCTCAATCAAATGGGCCATTGTGAGAACTACTCATTGTCACTGGAATTAGAAACAGCGCTGGCTGAGGCTTTTGAGCAAACATCAACTCTATTGTCAACTCAGATCATTCGGTCACCTACTGCACTAGCAGTTTTTCATTCTGAATTTGATAACTTCGACCAATTACTGAACAACCTCACCGGAATGGACTCAATTGATACTGCCCATGGTATCATGCTGCAGGAAAAAGAAGGCAAATCAGAGGATCATGGTGGTATTAGCATAGACATCCCATCAATTCTGAAGGACAGCACAACAAAGCAACGGTCATCAAACCTCGATCCAGCTGACAATCTCCCAGAATGCTATTTCACACAGCTAAGAAGTCTACAGATTATCATCAAACCGCTGACATATCCTGGTTATGAAGGCAGGTACAATGCAGCTAGCATGCGACACATATTGTGGATGCTGAATAGGATGAAGAGCAGTTTGTCACACCAAACTGTTCCCGGAAGGACAGGCTTTGTGTCTCTAACTGGAACAACTCCTGAAAATTTGACAACAATAGACTACTATCCTGTTATTGGCTGTCCAATCACGGAATACAAAACTGTACAGGAGTGTCTACTCTATGCTGAAAATGCCACCAATGAAATTGTTCAGGAATACATCATCATCACATTCGACTTAGGTGTATATATGAAAGCATACCCACTCGTCTGGAACAATCAAACCAAATATGGGAAGCACATAATCCTGATTTGAACTTCCATCTAGTTTGCCCATACATGAAGATGATAGGAAAGAAAATGAATGGGTCAGGTCTCTTTGACGTATTGCTGGAAACTGGTTGATTTCGTCTGGTTTTTATCACAGGTGTTCTTTCGGGGAAACACTATGACAGAGCAATGCACTGCAACATGGGCTTTTTGGAATGCCCTGAGAGACTTCTGATGATCTTTTTCGAATGCCCTAAGAGACTTCTGATGACTCAGTATGTAGCAAGTCAGGGTGAAACTGAAGCACTGTCTTCGTTATCTGAGCAATCTAAGCAACTTCTAGATAATTTGATAAACAGCACATCTGCAGACACCTTGGACGCAGCACTTGCTGACAAGGCAATAGTGAACTACATCAAAGGATTTCAGCAATATCGTGATGACATTAGAGCAGGACTTTATGGAATGAAACTCTTGCAGCGGTGGTGTTGTGTTCAGCACAGACAGCTATGTGGCAAGTGAGAGAATACGAAAAAAACCGCGGACTGGAAGCAGTTCCTATCCAATGATATCAACAAGCAACAGTTCATCACTCCTCTTACTCGACGCTGGAGCCAAATAAATATGCCAAAAACTGCAGTGTAGAAAAGTAACAGTCGTATGTGAAGGATCTGCATACCAACTTACTTCTAATGAAAATCTGACAACACAGTGTACAGAAATACCAGTCCTCAAGTCTTCCAAGGAGACACATTCCAGGATCAGCCTTTATTGTGAATATGCCAGGCTCAAAAACTACTTGTACATGTATGTCAGAGTAAAAAAAAAAAACCACTGACATTTTGTTTATCCTTATCCATTATGCACTCAAGATGGAGAATATCAAAATTCTCTTTGACACCGGTACTAGTAATAAAAAAAAGGTTGATTGATGTCAGTGAACTTGCTCTGTCACATACTCAGCAACACTGCACAGCGATGATGGTACTTTATGCTTACAGTGATTGTTATACTACAAGTGCCTTCAAAGGACATGGGAAGGTAAAACCACTGAAAACTCTGTCAAGGATGCCCAAATTCGTGCCACTGCTCACCAGGTTGGGTGACACATGGCATGTACCCGTCGACGTCATGGATGAACTTGATCAATTCAAATGTGCTTTGTTTGGGAAACCTCGTATACTGAGTGTCAACGATCTACGCTCCCTCAGAATGAATGAGCTATGTGCCAAAGATGATCTACCTGGCCCTTCTCGCAATGTTGATATGGGAACCCTACTTCCCCGTCGAAAGAGTCTTGATCAACACATAAGAAAGGTCAATTATCAGGTTGGCATATTGCAGAGAGCACACATTGCCGATCCACATATTCCAGCTCCTGTTGATGGTCATGGTTGGGTGATGATTGGGGGAAAACTCGAACAACTGTGGAATGAAGGAGACATGAGGCCACAGCGACTGGTAGATATAAATGAAACAGGGATACAAGCAGTGATGAGGAGATATATCTCTTCCTGATGCAGTAGACTACATTGACGTTGATACTTCAGACAGTGACTAGATTGAACATTTAGTGTGCCTACAGACGTTTGAAATTTTGTTAATTGTTTTATTGCTATGACTTAACATTAATGCTTGTTTCTTGTTTGTCCCGATGCAATCATGTATTGATAAATATTTTTTTTCCAGATATAGCTAAAAATCTGAAATCAGGGATACATATCTATATATATATGTTGACATAAACACTAGACTGGTAAATTTGTCTGTTGTCATTTAAATGGAAAACTACACTTATGATATGTCAAACATGTACTGTAATACCTAATTTGATATCTACTTATGTGGCCAAGAGTCTTTTTAAAGTTAAGATTTAATTTGTTTGACCCAAATGTAATTCCAGATATTCCATATTGCCAAAAAGAGCTATTCTTAGTGAAAAGAAATATATACTGTAAATGGTAATTCTATGAATAGTACCACGTATAGTTTGAATTCTCATGTGTCCAATTATCATGTTTTTATTCAAATGATTTTTTTTCAAGATAAAGTTATATGTCACTAGATTATTGCCTGTATTTGTTTTTCCATATAATATGCATATGTGTGTTCTACTAAGTAAAGATTTAATAGCTACAATACTTGTCATTATATTTCAATGAAAATAACATACTTATAACCGGGATAGTTTTAGCTTTATTTTGATATATTACACATAGACATTGGACAATTGTAAAGACATTTATTGACCTTTTTGTTGCAGTACAAAAATAACGCTCGACGCAGATTGCAAAATCGAGTATATGAGGGTACCTCCAGCAAATATGATGAAAACAGGAAGTGCATCCCTATATTTCCAATGTTAACATATGATTTCAGGTTCAGGACATACTAAGGCTTCAGAAAAAGTAGGTTGTGTTGCATGGTGGACCTAAGTAGCCCATGGCCTAATATTCTATTTCTATGTGGTTACTACTTACGTCATACTGGTCGCCTTCTCTTCTTCTGACTTGCATCACTTCACCATTTGTGTCACACTGTGTGAATTCTCTTGTCCATACTTTAGAGTTACATTTGGATACCACAAATACGGTGTTACCAACACGTACTGCAAGTCCACATGTACATGTTCGATCGGTATAGTTTGTACACATTCGTATGTCAACTTGCACCTGGAATAAAAAAAACACTCATTTTTTGTTGAAGGCAAATAGATTAAAAGTAATACTATACTTATATACACATGCACAAAAGTTAAGCGCGGCCATATTCATAGTCTCTTGATTTCACGTGTGGGAATCAGAAATGTGATGATGTATGACTGAATTAAGCTTCCATAGTTTCATGAACCCAAATGTGTCCAGATACCACAAGGAAAGCGTGCTTTTTGCTCCTGTGTGAGATTCCCCTTCCAATAGAGGTTGAAAATCAGCCATGGTGAGGAGAAAGTTAACGAACGCTGAAAGATGGCAAGTGATAGACATGAAAAATGCTGGCATGTCATGCAGGGTCATTGCAAGACAAATGGGTCGTCATCACAGTGTTATCATTCGTTTGATTGTCAAACATGGTCAAACTAACAGAGTGGATAGACTTCGTTTCAGGATAGTCAGACGAAATCCATTTGCCACTTCAACAGATTGAAGACTGCAGTGGATTACCCATCCGAGACTCTCGACGATGGCCTCAGAGCGGCTGGTTATGATGCCAGAAGACCAGTAAAACGTCCTCAACTGACTGAGAGGCACATGCGGAATCGTCTGATATGGTGTCGTGCCCGTAGTCGATGGAACTTGGCCAAGTGGAGAAGGATCCATTGGTCTGACGATTGTCGAATGCTGCTACGAACTGTTGATGGTCGAATACGTGTTTGGAGGCAACGTTACACTCGTTTTGCACCAAGGAACATCCAGAAGACTTTAACATGTGGCGGGGGGTATGTCATAATATGGGGTTGTGTTTCTTTCGGCTGCAAACTTCCGCTGGTGACAATTCGTGGAAACCTGAATGGCCAACAATACCAAGATGCCGTTCTTCGTCCAGTGGTTGTCCCTCATTTTGACAACCATCCTCTTCAGACAAGACCTGTTTACATGGACGACAATGCTAGACTACACAGATCTCGGGCAGTTTGGGCCTTTTTGCGTCAAGAAGCTATTGCCACTCTTCCTTGGCCGGCCTGTAGTGCGGATCTTAACCCGATGGAGCATCTGTGGGACATTCTTGGCTGGGAAATCAGACATCGTGATCCGCCAGTTCAAAATCTCGCTTGACTTGAAGCCGCACTTCATGAAGAATAGATCCGTTTGCCACAGAGAAGCATTCAACGACTTGTAATGAGTATGAGGCGTAGGGTTGAAGCTGTGGTCAATGTCCGTGGATCATACACACGTCACTGACGTTTCTGTCTTGCAATAGACTCTGCACTACCTAGGGTGTCTATGTGATACCTGATATGGTCTGCTGATATAATGACAGTTACATGACAAAAAAAAGTTTTCCAATGTTTTCTTATCCTTCAATTTCTGGTCTTCGGTAAAATTCCTTTCTGCTCATATTCTTATGGAACACAAGATAAACTTGCTTTGGGACAACTTTTGCATCACATGAGGTTTACATATATGGCTCATAACAATCGTACATCTCGTTATAATAGTCATAATTAAGTACCAAAAGTAACAGCTCACAAATATGGTGGGTGGCGCTTAACTTTTGTGCATGTGTATAGATAGGGTAAATATCATCAGAAATCTGCTTGAAATAACATTTGTAAAACATAGTGCCTTGGAACTGTAGCTCACCAGGATATGTAGTCAACAGTTTAAAATGCAAACAAAGCCACATAACAAATATTGCCAGCAATGATCTTCGAATATTTTCATCATATATACGAAATATTGTATACTGAGGACAAAAAATACACACTGAACTTAAAATATTTTGAACAGAAATATGATGTCATCATTAGGATAATTGAGTGAATGAGTGAATATGTTTTTACGTCACTTTTAGCAATATTCGAGCAATATCACGGCGGGGGACACCAGAAATGGACTTCACACATTGTACACATATCGGTTCGAACCTGGGTCTTCGTTGTGACGAACGACCACTTTAACCACTAGGCTACCCGACCGCCCCTCATAAGGATAAAAATTCATGCCAAAGTACATTTCCGTCAGTATTAAAGGTACATACATAGCCAAGTATGCAAGAATATGGTCAACGTTCACATAACGCAGAAACACAGAATTTAGTTTAGCATCACAACTAATTAAATATGCGCCAAATTTCATAACATGTTTTAACAAAACTGTGTCTGACCATAAATAGCTTTGAATATGTTGAACACATTCAGGCGTCATCATTGGTCAGATGAAGTATGTGTAGTTTCAGTTTCATATGTCAAGTGGTTACAACATACTATAACAAAGGAGGCCACGACATTTCAATCAGGTGATCTAAATATGCAGTATTTTAACATAAGTGAGTAATATAATACTTACCATGTTAAACACTAACTATCTTTTAACTGTTTAGATAGACTCTTGAAAGATTCTGGTAGTATTGAGTACCCGTAGGTACAGCTGAAATATGCCACTGACGATTCTTTATTGCCAGTGAATCGTCATTATCGGTGTTAATATTTGGCAGTTTTGTTAACTTGAAAAGACACTGTGGCATATTTCATTGAAATATTATCCTATAAAATAATACGTTAGAAGTTTCCTTACCTCGATCGGTTCACTTTGGTGTTTATACAGTGTGAAAATTCCTGTCTGTACAGAATACTGGAACGGGCTGTGAAAACAATTCCATAAGTAGTAAAGCCTATAGATCTAGTGTTTATGGGAATCAACAATAACAACCATTTTTAAAAAAAAAATTGATGTAAAAACAATTCCAAAAATACAGTACTTCAGTACAAAGATATTTCAGAAAACTGAAAACATTCAGGTTTCCTATTTCGAAGTCATAAACAATACAGGTGAAAGACATGACGGTCAACAGAGGGTAATGATGAGCATGAGGCGCGGGGAGCAAGATACTATTACTTGCACACTTTATGGATAGTTGACAGTGAAGAGTACTATTGATTAAAATATGAAGATTTTATAGTGTGATGACATCCGAAATACAGGGTTTCTGGCAATGAAGCAAAAGAGCTTTTGTCTTCGTAAAATTAAACAATAACAGCATTTGTTACTTGAAGATAAGAGATCACCCGTTTAATAAACATACAGCTGTATTACATATAGTGTAATACCAAAACGCGTGCTTATGTACTCTCAACATCCCTTGGCTTATTCAACGACATTGCGTGTGGAGTTGATAGATCACTGAGAGGAGCTTATGCACACTCGATGACCCCAGCAACCTTGTTGCTAGACTGACGTCACATGCCATTGTTTCGCAGATGGATCTTGCAACAAGATTCCGCAAATTACGTCATCGGGTACTGTGACGTTATTGTAAACTTTGAGGTTCAAGGCCCGTTCCACAAGGCGATCGTATTGTAGCGCAACGACAGTCGTTAGTCTGTTAAAGTATGTGAGTTGCGATAGTCTTAGCCCTACCTACGATAATTTTGTGAATTCTAAAGGTGGACCGTTGAATGGTATTAATTCATACGATTCAACTTTTGACGTGTTTGAAGTATTATTGTTAAACTCAATTGGACTATGCCGTGGATCGTGTAGGTGTCAGCCAATTCATACTCAACAGCATAGTTCTAAAAACGTTTTAAATGACAAGCAATAAATAAAATACTAAACTCACTCACGTGTAAAACCAATTTTATGAAACGAGTGAATAGTTGTGGTAATCTATATTTAGATGATGAGATAGGTTCCAAGAATTCCAGGAGAATTCCATGCTCAGACTGAGTGATTTGGTTGATTGTTTGCCATCGTGCCTGGAAGTGTGACTTGTTGCTCATGTTTGCAGTTACTGCTTTGCCTGCTCCAGAATTGATCACATACAGGACACCGTGTTTTAACTTGAATAGTTGGTACATTCACTCTTTATCGAAGAGTTGATATATTGCATAACAAGTACTTACACACCAAATCTCTTAAGGTAGGGATCATTTTCTAGGCTGCATGATTTCTTTTCGATGTCCTCTGTTCTTCTCCTCACTCTAACCTGTAACATATTTCCTTTTGTTATAAACTGTATTACCATAGGCGTACGGCAGTATACAGTATACGTAAACAGGTTGCTTGACCTGATGGCTGGTATAAGGTTAAGTTACAAATAGTTACAACAAAAACAACATGCCCTAAAATGAAAACACAGTAAATAACTTGAAAGGTGCTTGCAAGTACTTGCAAAGCAGAAACAGCCTCTCATTGCCATTTGAAGAAAGCCTCAGAAATCATTCTATTACCAGTGTGATACCATTTCCTGGTATGGCGAATTGAATGCCTGCTACAACCTCATACCAGACTAAAGTACCCCACGTTTGTCTCACGCTAACATAAAGGGGAATCTTAAAGGCAATTCCACTGTAATAACATTACTTTTGACATTATTTCCAATTTGGGAAAGTACACTCGGTATCTTTTAAACAGAGAGTCCCATGCCCCAACTGCCTCAGTACGACCGTTATACAAATTTCTGCTTGAATTATGTCACTTTCAGCTGGGGCAAATACTTGGCATTACATTAATTACAAGTTCATGTGCACATCCAGATTAACCAACAATAACTTCAAAGGAGTTTGTGCTTGAGAGAGTGAGTGATTGCGTGTGGTCTTTTAGCAATAATCCAGAAACATCACGGTGGGAAACACCAGAAATTGGCTTCACACATTGTACCCATGTGGGGAATCGAACCCGGGTCTTCGGTGTGACGAGCGAACACTTGAACCACTAGGCTACCCCACCGCCCCCTTTAAAACTGGAAATAACATGCCTCTAGCTACATTAACTGAGCACTAGGCTCTGGCCTCTTCCAAGCTTTCTGTCACTGTCCACTGAGGCTCATCAGCTGCTGGAAGTTGATTAGATGGCTGGGTCAAACGAGTGTGTGGAGGGAATGGAACAAGAGCTGAATTACACTTTGAGGCAATGCCAGTTCACATTTCCAATAGCTGATTGATTACGGTAGGTTCTATTTAGATTGACTTTTTCTGTCCTTACTTCTTTTATAACTTATTACTGATTACTTATCAATTTGTTCCAATTAAGAATGCCAACACAACTGAGCACACATTGAACGCGGCTCTGTTATACAGTGTCATTTGTAGATAACAGTCTGTTTCATATGATGCGGAAACTTTGAAAAAAACTCTTTAAATTGGCAATATGAACAATTTATGAGCAGGATTTAAAGTGTACCAATGATGCCCAAGAAACACATTTTCGCTTTGGCCTTAAATGTTAGAGTGAGCTAATATACAAGAGAGGTATGAAAAACATATCAATAGTAACAGCCCAAAAGGAATAGTACTGGTCAAGTCAAAGCCTAATGATTGTTCATAATGTTCAGATGTCAACCACTGGATTGTCTGGTCCAGACTTGATTTGTACAGACAGCCGTCACATAGCTTTGATCCACAATGACAAACTACTCACCTGAACGGTTCCAACTGAGTAATTACTCCAAAATGGAGAAGCTGGCATTTTTGGTACCATCAGATTGATACTTGATATGGTATCTCTGTCTGACGGTTGTGTGTAGGCGTCAGTCACAACTCCAAATACTTCGATTGTACGACGTTGACCCTCAGTACCAGTTTTGAAGGGATCGATTCCGCACGCTTTTGACACTGCTGATGCTGTGCATCCCCCATTGTGGCCCGATGGACGGTTAACACTAATGACAGCTTCCACAAATAAATTGCAGGCTAGATTTCCACAGCCAATTGGTGCGGTTAAATTCATGTCTATGCTTGCACTTGTACCGTGGTCGACTGTTATCTCTGTTGCCTGCTATAAATTGAACCGTACTGATTAGTTGATATAACGTCTTACAAATGTATTTCAACGAGCTATTGCTTTGGTATTACCATAGTATATTTTTCAGAGATTGTAAGGGGCCTCATAGCCTTTAACTACGGGTTTGAAGAGGCAACCAGAAACCAACACTGGTCGTAAGAGGTGACTCAGAAGATAGGATGGTCAGGCTGCGTAGGTTGATGCTCACGATGTCAATCACTGGATTGTCTGGTTCAGACGCGATTATTTACAGACTTCAGTCATGTAGCTGGAATATTGCCGAGTGAAGCGTTAATCAGTTATAAGCAATTATAGTTGGCAGTACGTTCATGCCTAGGTCAGTTGTGTTGTACATAACTAGTCTTGGTTCCCAAGTTAGCACTCATCGCTGCATTACAGATAACTTGATATTGTCACAGAGGAAGTAGAAATGAGACCGCGATAGAGTGGATTTTGCTTTGCCAAATATGGCCGATCATCTCCGGTATTGTAACCAAGTGATCATAACACAATATTCATCGCTACCAAAATCGATATTTTTTCAAGTTACTATAAGTAATAAACCATATGTCATGCATACCAAGAGCTTGATACCAACAAACATAGAAGCAGACAATCCATTTTCACCAGGTGCTTGGTCGGGTCCAAACATTGCTCTCAGTCCACATTGAATCTGAAATAACAGACAGAAAAAGATATTGCTGTGTGTGCCTTAATTTGCTTTTTTAGGATGATAAGCAAAAGAGTGAAAACAATTGGAACCTGTATGTATTGACCACAGTAGAGCATGTATTGAGTCTGTTTCCCAAAGACGTCGACGCAGCCATGGTCACTAGAAAGGGCGAGGGCCAAATGGTGCTATTCATTTGAAAGATTTGTTGCCTCTCCTTCAGGAACTATTGGGACTGCACAAAGTAAGAACAAGACTATACTCTGTGTCACTGAAAGAAATAAAACAACCCCAGCAACCTTTGCTGATGGATGGGTCTATATAAAGGAGGAGCTCAAAGTATCGACTAGAGAGTATAGTCCTTGATATCGCTTTGAAACGTTTGGCCAAACCAAAAATCCTCTAAATCAGACAATGACCGCATCTTCTTGAAGTTGAAATTTGCAAACAAAGGAATTGATGCCTTAAATTCACGTATCATGCTCAGGAAAAAAGCAGTTTCCCAAAACAATTTCATTTTCCCATACGAACCCCATTTCATGCAGGTTGTTCAATTATTGGAACGTGTTGCAGAATGTGGACTTGGCAGCTCATGATGTAAATTTCTCTAATTTCGGCTGCCCGGACTCGTATTGCTATCATCCTGTAGATCATATAATCTGTTATTGACACGTACAATCTTCATCAGTTATTTAAATGTGGATCGAAACATCGTGAGTGAGCAACCTCCTACCAATTGGGATCACAACTTTAAAATCATTAAGGATGCAGTCGAAGAAAAGTGCAAAAAAGAGTGAGTTAAGGCAGTGCGTGATGTCATTGGTAGAATGCAAACACTTAAAAAGAGATAACAGAATTGGAATAAACCCATTCTGTCACCGACAGCTGTCATCTAAAGTCCTACATCAATAGTTTGCAGTTGTTCCCTTTGTCACAGCCTCAAATAACATAACCATAATATGTAATACATTCATTCTTTATTCAAAGGACTTGGTATTAATGACATATCAAATAATGCCACATCTACAGCCAGTATTTAACTGATAAAGAAATCTTCCAAAACCAATATAAAACCTGAAGGCATGTCCATTTCTCTTTTGTACTGGATTCCAAAAGCTCCATAATCCGTACAAAGAGATCTATATATTGCTGGATCCAGCAAATCTACCGACGCTCAAACCCAAACCATAATGCTCAATAGAATCAAGAAGGGACCTTCTATAAATTCATAGAAAGAATTTGAGACAAGTGGAATTAATAATACCATGTAGATTCTAAAAAAACTCAAAGGATTTGCTTTACATTTTGCAATCTCAGAAAGAAACCTAATTCCATTCCGTCTAAACATTTGATTTTTCAGCATTGTGGCACCACTATCCCACATGAAAATCTTCATTCCTTCATCTGTTACAAAACGTGGTGACCACATGCTGGACTCACGCATCCATATACAATTTTGGGGTAAGACATTTATGCAAGAAGTAGGCATCCCAATTGGTACCAATTGTGCTCCCCTTGCATGAATCGGAAATGTTGCACGGATTAGCGAAGTCAAAAGAAGGTAATTTGGCCAAGACGTTTGAATTAAGCTGTACTGGTGATCTGATATAATTCAATAATTCATCAAATAGAAGAAAAAAATCCCTTCCACTGATTGATAGTCTACGGTGTTAGCGTTAGGCGTCTCAACGTGCGTGATTCCCATGCACCCTTTCGAGTTGAGTTGATTGGTTCAACTGTGTCATATGGCTATTTCAATGAATGCTCGTTCCGCCCGTAAACAATTGCCTTGCCTTTGTATGTGTTTGTGAAGAGTGCCATCGGTGGGGAAGGTTATGCTCACCTTTTCCCGAACACCTGGTATCATCACTATATGATACTGATTCATAAACACATGCTTATGATATAGCCGGAACCGTACAGACGACTCTGCTTTCAGGTAGATAAGCTTGGATGAGACGAATGTGTAGAATCAGTTCTCCAACTAAGGACATCTACCATTGGAGAGTGTGGATCTACCACACTAATGACCATCCGCTGCATGTTGAGATAATGATTCTCTTGTGAACAAATTATTCAACTGTGAAGCTGGAATCTTTCTCCGATATCAACTATATTCTGTACCGAGTTTAACTCTGATTTTGCTAGGTGAACTAGGAACCAAAGATGACACAACAGTTGTAACAGGTGTTCTGACGAATCTTGTACTTGTCCTCATAACAAGTTGTAGATTCATTAAATGGATGTGAGCAAAATAGATGATCTGACAAAGCCAGGTAAACTTTTCCAGATTTCAGACGAATTGGTACATGAAGGGAAGAAATCTGCCTTGTTCTAAGTATACCGTGAAGATTTCATACTGATTCATCTGGAATTTCGGTACTCCTTGTTGAAAACTTTCAGACTGATGACCATGCACATATGTGACATGTTCTTCTACAAAGAAGACTAGAGAATAGAAGTCATAGCTGTGAAACAGATCCTCCAGTTCCATATTGGCTTACTGGTCAAATAAAGTCTGTATCAACAAAAAATCGTCCCCCTTTCAGTCCAGGTGTTGCGGTTAGGTTGAATTACTTTGGGGGTTGTAGATCGTTATAGATGGTCAACAGCGGATTATCCCCTTTTCCAGCAAGTTTTACTCCTTTGTAGCTGGAATAGTGTCCTCCTCCTACCTTGCAGATAGTGATCCAATTTTCTGGGCGAATGCGGTGGTTCGTCTAATAACTCCTGCTTGCCTGATGTGCGACATTCGTGCATGGGAATAATTTCTATCAGTAGTATTCTGACTCACTTCCACTAAGACCTTGCTGAGAGTGCTGTTAAACAACTGATGTGCTGGGGTAGTTTGGGTCATCATCATCATCATCATCATCAATTTCTTTGTCTGCTCAGGGACATCTCTTGTTCGTACTTGAGAAAGGAAATGCTGCATTCAAATCCAGGGGAAGTGAGTGGACATCCCTAACTGAGTGGTGAGAAGTTCCTCCTACTTCCTCACAATCCTGCGTAATGAACTGACCTGGTCCGACCTGGACTCGATGGCACAATAACGTGTCCAACGCCAGCCATAAACAAGTTCATATAATCTCTAATGTCCATTGCATGATAATCACGAGAGTCCAAACCACGCAGTTTTGTCACAGGAAGTAACACGATCATGTCGAGAGACTTGATCGGCTTTAATAATCTTTCTCAATAACTGGAGGATCAGATAACGGATAATTATGCGTGTGATGCGCTCGGTGTTTTAAGGAAGGTGGTGGGCTGAGGAAGTCTAGGGTATTGCGACGAGTTGTTCTTGCCTGGGCTGATGTCAGCCTGCAGAGTGTTCAGTAGCTCCTCTTGCTTCTCAGCTGCCTTTCTCCTCCTAGACACCATCCAAGATTTTGAGATCCTGACAAACAAACTCCTCTTGAGTAAATGAGACACACAAAGTCTCATACGAAAAGAGGAGTAATTTGTAAATCGTTTATGATAGAACATACGTCCAGTGCATCATTTGGAATAAATCAAACGGAAGAATTCTAACACGAATACATTTTGTTCCCAAATTATGTAAAAGTAACATTCCGTGTTTGATCAAAGATTACAAAACACAATTGACCTTTTATTAACCTGTTTAGTTGAAGTTATCATATTAATATTACCTTACACTCCGAAGGAGAAAGGAAATATAAGCCGCTGTTTCAAACATATAAACTACATTACTGAAGGGAATACATATCAAATATAGTATATAACATGCTATTTGTCAATTTCGTATATAAACTATCTTCCAACAGTTAAATAATGATTGATTGTGTGTACTAATTTACCCGACCTTCGCCTCAAAATACCAAATATATATATATATTTTTTATCTCTGACACCCCTATAGGTGGCCTCCTTACACAAATGGCATGTTCACTGACAGTAGTACGCAGGGTTTGTGATTTTGAATCCGTCATGGCGTCTTCAGAACTAACACTACGATAATATTCCCATGTGATATCACAAAACTGTGTGGCATTTTGTTAACATTTCAAACAAGTACGGTTTTCATAGCACACAGACAGTTAGTCATTTCAATTTAAAATACTTGAGAAAGTCAAGTATATATCACAGCCTTGTGTGAGAAATATATGGTTAATAGGCATGTCATTACTGATATACGCGAAACGTGAGTTTGTAAAGACAAAACAAATTAGCAGAACATTTTCTAAGGTATGAGTGTTTGCATATTATCTAAAGTATACTAAACAATTTTGGGGTTTTACGTCCAGAATGGTTTTTAAAATCTTGATAAAGTTAAGACACTCACTACCCGTCATGAAGATCCGTGTAAGAGCTGGTGGTAACTACGGTATGATCATCAAGATCATTATGATATGTTGCAAACAAACTTAAAACAACTGTTACTCACATTTATTCCCGCCTTAAATCCATTATCAAGCAGATTTTTTTCTGTGAGCCGTGTGTTGCTGACGCTGTTTCCACTCATTTGGTTGCTTGCCGTGTGGGTGAGGATACTCTTTCCATTCACATACCAGCTTATCTGATAGAACAGCACGTGGTCTTGATCCGGACTAAACCCACATTCGAAAAACAGTTCACTTTTTACACGAGATGTAGTCTCCAAGTGGATAGTGACTGTGGGAATGGCCTTAAATGGTGGTGGATCTGTTCAGAACAAAACAGGTGTGTGAATGGAGCCTGGTCTCAGTTAAATGTAGAAAAGCCAATGGTAGGACCTTGTGAGTGCAGGCTTCTGAATCCTTTGCTTCCGATCGAAAGAAATGTAGTACATATCTATTTTTATTTTCAGACGGTGTTGTAAACTGTAATGCAATTATACCTGTGAGCTAAGTAACATTGCAACTGTTAACTAAGACAAAATTGTTATGGATGAGCAACTTCTTTATTACAATTGGGCGACGTTTCGGTGTAGATTCTAACACCGTTATCAAGCAAATGATGTACAAAATAGGTATGAGCATGATATATATACATAACAAAAGATGGTTGTTTATATAACAGATAAGGTTGATGTACAACTGATTGATTAGGTAGTTATGATAAGACAAGTTTATACAAGAGATAGGGTTGATGTACTCAATTTGCTCAGCCATAACAATTTTGTCTTAGTTACCATTCCAACTTCTAAATGCGACTCAAAGAAATTGCAACTGTTGCTCTACCTAAACCCGATACAATAGGAAACATAGACTATGGGTCTGTATATCTGTATTTAATATCTATCATTGCACTATGTTTTTGCAACAGTTACGTTTTTAATATGTTACAAAGAGTCAAAAGTTCTACATTTTAATCTGCAATTGATGCATACAACTTACCTCTCGAATCACGTTCTGAAACAATCATAATCATAATATATATTGTGTAAACCCAGCCACTTAAGTGAATCTTTTAACATCATAAATATAGGGTATCAGATCAAAATTTCCCCTGAGCTGTGATACAAACATTCATTAAGTCCTCATATATTTCATAATTAAGTAAATTACTTGTTGTTCAAGTAAAAAAAGGAAAATGGTCTTTGAACAAAATGAAGCAAAATTATAAGTGACCAAAGCCTTTCAACAATCATAAGAAATCTCTTCTGACAACCGAGTATTTTAAGAAATCCGACTGTATCATAGCATTCGTTTATACTATTCTAATCCACCGGTGACACTCGTCACAAACGCATGCAAAGGCAAGTCAATTGTTCATCTCAAAAATACCTTGAAACATTGTGCAATAAAAATAGGGAATAGCATCGGACATTAGTTTTGTCACTGAAGCAAACAAAATTGAAATGCCCTCCACACGTCTTCCATATAACATTTTGAAAGCCTTACTCAGGCCTTGCATGTTGTAACCCTCTTCATCAAACACTTTTTGGTAGAGTTGTTTGATGCTATTGAAATCTTCGAAGAAGGAGCATGCTCGTATGTACAAAAGTTGTGAAATGTAGACACCAAAGACAGGAGCTGCTGAAATATTGCTCGACGTTCAAGCCCATTAATTAATATGTCAGTATTGGTGAATAAGCCAGTTTGACATGAACAACATCAAGATTTCAAATTAGGATTCATAAGATTTCATACACATCTCCATCAACACTTGGCAATTATATGGGAGGTATTTTGTGTGTTGTGTTTGATGTTAATGCAAGGCAATATTCAAACATATACCGGATACGATGATATGCAATCAACCAAGTCAGAGAGCCTGACTTCTTGATACATTTAGTCGCCTCCTGTGGCAAGCATGTGTTGCTGACCTACTTTCGTAACCGGAATACACCCAAGTTCTTTTGGGAGGTACAAATTAATAATAACTATGACAATGAACATGCCTGCACAACATGAGCTTCAACCGACATGCTATATATATTTAATGGAGTATCCATGCTTACAGAAATGGAGGTCACCTTGTTGACTCTCGTGGTATCACTTTTCGTTAAAAGAAAACTATGTGACAAGGAACCAAATATCTGATTTCGTCGACTCCAGTTTTGGAAACTTATTCGTACTGCGTCAAGAACTTAAACCAGATATGATTACATCTCAGTTTGTAAACCCCAATCATGTTATTAGCAGTCTACTTGTTGTTTGGCTTCTGTCACTTCCTGTGAGGAAAACACATACTTACTTCATTAGAATTTTAAAACAGAAAGCTAAGTCTGTAGTAACTATGATATTAATATGCATATCACTCCAGAAAACACGATCCGGGGTAGAATAGGTCTTCAGCAACCCATGCTAGCGGTAAAAGGCGACTATGCTTGTCGTAAGAGGCGACTAACGGGATCTAGTGGTCAGGTTCGCTGACAGGGTCGGTGCGTTTCATCGATCCAAATAGCGTGGATCGATGCTCATGATGTAAATCACTGGATTGTCTGGTCCAGACTCGATTATTTACAGACCGCTGTCATATAGCTGGAATATTGCTGAGTGCGGCGTTAAACAACAAACCAACCAACAACCAGAAAAAACAATACTGCATTTAAACTTAAATAACAAGAGTAACCTAAAAAAGGGCAGGGTTAATGCACCACCAGGTCGTATCTTGATTTATGATAAGAAAACATGCTTCTTACTCCTGTTTTGTTTCTTGTGTCCCTGTCACATTTAATATATATCTCACTTCTTGCTTGTGGGACAATCAGTAGTGATCTTAAAGATACCTATAAAGAGTAACACATGTAATATTTTTTCAGTTCCACATTTTTCATTATCTTCTGTATCCAGTTTATTACATCTTTTATTATGAATACCCTAAACCTTTGTTATAGAGGTGACGGAAAAGTAGAGTAACCTGGTTCAATAGGTGTATAATACATACAGCAGGACAAAACGGAGCACAAAATAGCATTCTACATACATTAATGTATTTTATACAATACATTGGGGAGCAAGGTGGCATTGACTAAGAGGGGCACTTCCTATTTGGATTACTTCACTCTCTGTTTTGGAAACGCATGCTTTCTGCATTTGACTATGAAACCATAAATTACCATAGATCAGGATCAGTTTGTAACAATGTGTAACTATTCTTCTGCTTTCGTAAAAAAGCTACAAAGCTAAAGTAGTACTTGAAAACAATAACCCCTATGACTGCAGCTGAACTAATAAATGACGTATTTGTACTTCACAACCATGTCCCTACAAATCAGAAAGCCCCAGAGTGAAAGAGTAAAAGTGATCAACATTGCAAGTCTGATTGAGTCAATTCTACGTTTTTTAAGAGCCGATAATTTTGCTGCGGTTGACATAAAAATACAATGTGTCGACTAGATTTTGGCTGCTGTCAGATTCACTAAGAAGTTCTTAAAGAAACGGTAGATCGGTATAGATGTAAGCAAGGCAACTTCTCAATAAACGATCAACTCACTGGGAGATGATCATATTAGTGATCAGAGGTAAACACTATAAAAACCTTCATCGTTCAGAAAGGAAAATGTGAAAAGTTGGAGTAGGACATAAAGCAGTAACTAAACAAAGAAACTTGGATTAAACTTATGTCAGCGATACCAAACTGGCAATTCTTTGTGAAATAGATACTCTCAATAGGGAGTTAAAAGAAATACTAAAAATAGGAAATCAGGGAATTGTTTTCGATCTGAGTGAACATGGATGGAAACTGGCGAAATACCATCGAATTGTTTTAAGTTTAGAACAATGAAACAACCTCCATAGATCGGCAGAACATAACCAAGATAATATTATAGAACAACATGAGGATATTTTAAATACGGTAAGCAAGTTTTATGGTAAACTGTACTCTACACCTGACGTGTCAAGTATTCAGTTGGAAACACTACTTGGTATATTTATTGTTCCAAGACTATCTGATGACTTATTTCTGAGTTATGATGAGGTCCTCGAAAAAAGTGAAATGTCTGAAAAACGGGAAATATCCCGGAGCAGTTAGGTTTACTGCGTAATTCTTAAAATTCGTCTGAAATATTATAATATTGGTATATATCTATTAAGGTTTTTCCCAATTTTGCATAAAGAGCTGGTGAACTATCCTTCTCACAAAAACGAGGAGTAACTATATCCAATATAATTATTATCGGTTTTCTATAAAGTTGCCTCCATAGCTATATACCTAAGATTAAAATCTGTTTGGGATACATTTAACGACGATTAAGGGGGGTTTCATAACTGTGCGATACTTGGGGAAATAACAAGACTGGTAGATATTGTTGATTTATGTTGAATAATGCATTCGATGCAGTCGTTAATTATTTTGGCTTTTGGCTCAGGAGAATCAATCAAACAATGGGTACATACTTTCTACTGTGGAATACAATCAGGAGATCTTGTCAATCAGGAGTTTGATTCCTCATTCTTTGACATAACAAGAGCATGCTGTCAAGGAGATCCCTTGTCACCTTAAATGTTCATCATCTACGAAGTTATACCAGCAATACGTATAAGAACTAACCAGGGTTTTAAGGGAATAAACATTGGTGACATTCAATATCGATGAAGGCGACACAATCTGTTCTCTTGGTGGTTCTGAACGATGCCTCTACGCTGTTTTGCATGTAATGACATTCATCGCGCGTTTTTCAGGCTTTAAAATATACACAGAAAAGACAAACCTAATATGGATAGGGTCAAAGTACGAGCGAAGATGAAACTCTGGCCGAAATGGAATTTAGACTGGACAGGGGAACCTTTCAAATTATTGGGGATAAAATTCTGTCTTCATTTAGATCATGTGTTTAATATTAACTACCAAAAGAGGTTCAAGCAATGTTAAAAGCTGATGTTAATATTGTCAATAAGACACCTAACACAATTTGTCATGAATATCAATCTTAAATCACAAATTCTGCCCAAACATAATCATCTATTCTCATCTATTCCAAATCTACCTGAAACAACACCTGATAAATTCAAACAAAATTTTCAAATTCTTATGGGGAAAACAACTGACAAAATAAATAGATCATATATAATATGGAAACTAAAGATGGTGGAATTAAAGTTTTATAATCTCAAAATATTCTAATAAGACGAGCCTTTAAAACAACATACCTCAAATTGGTGTTTTTATCATTCTTAAATACCCCTATACACAATGGTCAATATGCGTACGAGATCAATAGTTAGAAGCAAAAGACATAATTGTATAATTTCTTGAGCAGATAATAAGTTTTATGAAAATTACTGATGTCTTGGTGGACTTTCGTGAATAGTCTACAAAATAATAATATTCCTGCTTTCCTGCTGTTAACATTCTGTCACAAAATGGTTGGTGTTACATACATATTGTTGATATTAGTTATATGAGTTCTATATATGAGAAAGACTTTTGTTTTTGTGAAGTTGGGAAAATTGATATTTTCATTGCAATGAACATAACACATGCTATTTCACATGCTATCAGTGTCTACAAAAGGCATCAGATTTAGTTATTATTTTATTGATGAAAAGGGTCACTTTCTCTCAGTTGTGCAATTCACGGAGTAATATAACTGTAAGATGATTTATCTTAACTATTTAAGTTTGATCCAGTCTACAAAGCAATACTGTCAGCAACGGGGAAGTTCCACGGGAGTTTATTCAATATTATTTACAAACACAATAAATGGCAAGTGTAATTAGGACATTGGATAATTTTTTTTAAAATTGGTCAAGCTGTCATTTACCCTTCTTTTAATATACCGCAACTATTTTCTAATATGCGCAACTGTAAAAATAATTAAAATGCAACGGAACATAAAGTTATAAAAAAAAGTTCAATTGTGTCAAAATATTTGATTTTTCAACACTGTATGTTGTACGGTACACCTTAGGGAAAACTACATCGTTAATAACATCTATGTGAAATTTGGGAGTAAGAAATGAAAACTAGAAATGTCAAAACAAGCGACGAATATTAACCACTAGAGTTCGTAAATATAGCGACAAAACCCTTTCAGTATCCAATAGAAATCTCTGCATAAATCATGACCACCAGACATTGACCACCAGACATTATTCTCTGCACGTATTCTTAAATTCACAATTTCAGGAACCAGTGACAGTTTCATTTTCCTATAAGAACATTTTTTCATTCAAGTTGTTCAATTATAGGAACATGTTGCAAAACATGGACTTGGAAGCTCATGACCTAAATGCTACACGTCATACTGCTACTAACCTGAATGTCATATAATCACAGGTGATTTGGCCATTCTTCAGTTAATCAAATAAAACCCAAAATATCGTGAGCAGCATGTTCACATATACATTCATTGTTTCCATACAAAAACATGGTATGAGTGATATATACAATAATGTCATATATACGGACAGTATAAACTGAGAAAGAAATCTGCCAAAACAACGAGGCAGTACTACATTTATTTGTCTTGTGTATGATACCTATAATATCTTTTGTAATGGATTCAAAAGCTCAATTAAAATCCATTGCAGTGTCCAGGAAATGTAAAATTATAAACCGTCATACAATCAAGGAAGGGCAAAACATATTTAAGACAAGTGGAATTTATACCAAATCAGTATAGAACACCACAAACTTGAGGACAATCTAAATTCTGATCCAGGGAACATATGTCACAATGGTGACCACACAGATAGTCTCTATCTTTAAAGGTTCAGGAAAATCTTTCCAAAATGAATTCGAATGCCATTCGAGATGTACCGACAAAACAATACTAGTATGTGAAATGCTGTACTTCCTCGTTGATAACGTCTATGTGGAATTTGGGGATAAGATATTTAGGTAAGAAATAGGCATTCCCATGGACACCAATTTATCATTAGCTTCAGGTATATCAATGAGCTGATATCCTTCAAAAACGGTCAAATAGCCGATTCCTTTCAACATATTTATCCACAGCTAAGCTGCCTCGTCTGTTCTAGATTTAGATCTATGCATACAGATTTAGACTGACAAAAAAGACTGTAAGACAAGGGGGATAACTTCAACTTTCCAATAATCAACTTGAAGAGTCAAACGGCTCTTGCTCATATTCATTTGTGATGCTCTTATTTATTTGTATCTGTTTATCAACAAGCAGATACCTTGTGCTGTTGTAACCCACATTTCCCTTGCGATTATGAAGTGCTACCATATCTTCCGAATGTCAAAAACAGGTTTCCACACAACTGGTTACACAAGTAATAAAAACTTAGGAGTCGCAAGTGAAATGATGGGTCGGTCAGGTTACCGGAAACAAAACTATTGTTTATGTCAACTCCAATAACTCAAATCTGTTTCATTACGTTAATTGGATTGAAGGAAAATTTTACAATTTGGACAGAACTATTAAGCAGAGATACGAACTCTTAATATGCTAAGACCCTGTCCCAACAAAATTAGAGAGATGTACATGAATAAAATCAGACTTACGAAAACAGTACGATGCCTTGTGCACAGGTGCTGCTATTAGGTAGTATACTGTAAACCCGGTACAATTTCTCACTTCAATCTGGAATGGATCTTCACACTCATTGTCTTCTGTCTGGTAACACACAGTTGCCTGGTCCCCGACGACATCTGAAATTACATCAATCTACCTCAACACATTTGTTTGCAGCATTTCGTGGCTAGGAATATGCTTCTGAACCAAGGAGGTAACATAAATCCTGCCGTTGTTGACACAAGATAGTTTTATGATTTTGATAATTTTACATTAAGTTTAATATTGAATACTTTTCCTGTCTCACATGTTTCATGTTACGAACGAAATGTTGGACCCGTGAAGATACAGGGTAGAATAGGACTTCAGCAACCCATGCTTGCTGTAAAAGGCGACTGTTTGTCATAAGAGGCGACAAACGGGATCGGGTGGTCGGGCTCGCTGACTTGGTTGATACATGTTATCGATCCTAATTGCATGGATCGATGCTCATGATATTAATTACTGGACTGTCTGGCCCAGACTCGATTATTTACAGACCGCCGTCATATGGCTGGAATATTGCTGAGTGCGTGGATCGATGTTCGTGGTGTCAATCACTGAATTGTCTGGTCCAAACACTCTTATTTACAGACCGCCGTCATATAGCTGGAATATTGCTGAGTGGAAACACTGTTCGCAAACGCATCTGTTTTTAGAAACTTTAAACACCTAGCCCAAACGCAGCCCGATAGGGATGGTAGAAGCTGGAGGGTAGATAAGTCTTCACGCTATATGACGGAAGCCGTCAGGGAATGGATTCAATGCTGCTGAGCCGTCCTTGTTTTCGTTTGTTGTTTAAAGCCACACTCAACAATATTCCATCTTTGAACGACGAACTGTAAATAATCGAGTGACATGAACATCGACCTACTCGATTGGGTTACAACGGCATGCACCAAGAAAATGAGCAAACGTGATCACCCGATCACGTTAGTCGCCTCTTATGACAAGCATGGGTCGCTGAATACCACGTTTGGAGCACTTGTAGGCTTCTAATATCTTAGTAGAAATATACAATCTTTTGTTTCGTTGCAAGGAAGATAAAGACTCTTCTATTACCTTTAATCCACATCGGATACCATCCTCCGCATTTGAAGAAGCCGGGAGCGTGTGTCAGTAGAGTGTACGTCGACATGCCATACCAATCCTCTTCGATCTCTCTGTCGTTGATGCTGATCTCGCCATCAGATAATTCATTCGTTTCATCTCGTCGGTTAATGTCTGGTATTGGTTTATGGTTGGTAAGTGCGCAAGGGTCTGCAAAAACTAAACAGCATATTAACAGTTATGCAGCACATTCCTTTTCAAGACACATTATTATCATCCTTGTTTCCAAATTCCATAAATAAATAAAGATCAATTTCTTACGAAATGAAGAGTACTGTCATAGCGACTGATTTACGACAACCATTGTCTGAAGAACATTAGATTCCAAAGGCTAATTACCCTGTAGCCATGACATGTGCATGTCTCCATAACTTAATTGTCATTATGTATAAGACGCAAATCCCCGTTGTTAATCCTCACCAACATTTCATTGTATATTGACTGTCAGTCAACCTGGGCTACTATATCACTTCCCGTTAATTACTGTTATTTATAGTATGGCGTGTATTGCCTTAATCCCCTGAGCTGTATCGGTTCATCAACCCCAGAAGTCCCATGACCAGAGCAACGTCATTGTCTGTCCATAGTTGTTCATTACTATATATGTACCATCATTACACTGTTTGTCAGCTTGGTATTCCGAGCGCTTGTGTAAGTAGGATGTGCCGCTCGTAGGAAACGTCCTGAGGTTGAGATGAAGCTGAACCTGGATTCCCCAAAGAGCTAATTCCCCGTCAACATGCGCGTTGACAAGTACTTACCATTCTGATATAATGCAGCTAACTGGCACACAACCAAAAGGCAGGTGGGGTAGACAGCAAGGAGTTTCCTGATGAAAGGGTTGAATACATTACTACATCCGGATGCATAGACATGGTATCAGGTTTTAATATGAGTAAATAAGTGTTTATATTCGTATATATGTAACCCAAGTTTATGGTCAAATGAAAGAAACTTAACATGTGTATAAGCAAGGCTATATAAATAAATTCTAAAATATGAAACTGATACATTGATATTGACTGTTGTGCTTTTTAACCCCAAATCAAAGCACTCTCTTGGATGGAAAACACTGATATTGAGAACATGCATGACAAGATTTTATTTTTCTGTCAAACGCTATACATAATACAAGCATAGAACATATGATAGAATACTCAGCATTATTCCGGGTAGATGACCCCTGTCTGTAAAAAAATCGAGTATATACCAGGAAATCATTAGCATCTGTCAACACAATTTGGGAACAATGATATACAATCAACCCTGACCTGACCACCCAATTCAATTGGTCTCCTCTTACGACATGCATCAGTTGCTGGGACTTATATTCTTACCAGGAAAAATCACTGGTATGTAATAAATAGCAGTCTCGCACACAGACAACACACGCACTAGACAAAATGTGACTGCATGTGCCACAGAAATAAGATGTGGTATGAATAAGTGAGTGAGTGAGTGAGTATTGGTTTACGCCTCTTTTAGCAATTTTCCATCAAGTAGAAGTTTAAAATATCGCAAAAACGGAACATTTAAATATAAGAGACAAAACCCATATCATATTCGAAAGGAATCTCTGCCGAAAACAGTCTTCTATACTATGAGCATGTGCTCATGAATCACTGTCAAATAGTGATGCTACCAGGTGTTCGCGAAGAGGTGAGCGTATCTTGCCCCACCGGTGGCACCCGTCACAAACACATTCAAAGTCAAGTCAACTGCTCACCTGAAAAAAACACGGGAACATATGGCACAAATCAAGATGAGGAATTGCATCGGATATTATGTTGGCACTGATGCGTCAAATTACGAAATGTCCTTCTCAAGTCTACCATAAAACTCTGTCAGGCCGAAGACCCGGGTTCGATTCCCCACATGGGTAAATAATACTGGTCATGGTCATAAATATTTTGACATGGCTGCTCTGGCGATAAGATAACATATTATTATCCAAATGAAAATTCATTTTGTACAGTTGATCAGCACTAAAACATGAAGAAGAAAAATATATGACATTGAAATATGTACATCAGAAAAAAAACCGCTTTCTAATGTACTGTGACTTTTAATGTAAACTCACACAGGAAAATACACATAGAAAATTAAACATTATTACAGTGGCGGCAAGGAATGGTCTAGCAAAATCCTTAATATTTTTTTTATATTTGTATACTTATCCTGAAAGAAAAGAGCTGTGTGAAGGTCTTTGCTTGAAGAAGTTGCTCCAACTAGTTGAGAGGCGTGTCAGCTTAATGTGGGAGGAAAGCCGGAAGTGTTGCAGGTCTAAGACGTTTACCACTTCGGTGAAACCCACGAGCACGGGTATGGTGCTGACAAACCTTGAAACATAATCGGGGCGAACCGGGATTCGAACCCACAATCATAGGTTTCTGGCGTGCCCAAGGGACGCAACTCTGCACAGCGAATCGCGGCGCCTTAGACGACTGGGCCACCCGTCCCCCCGGGCGCATTTGGAGCCTTCCTCTGTAGGTCAAGTCCTGTGCTGAGGTTAGGAGGCCCAGGAGGACTTGCCATTGGCGCAGAGTGCGTGGTAGGTAGAGAGCTGGAGTCAGGTGCGCCTGCATGCGCTCCAACCAGTCTCTGGGTACATAGATGACGTCGAGGTCCGTCTGGAAGAGGCCCCCGATGAACTGAAGGCGATTTGAGGGTGTCAACTCTGACTTCCTGAGGTGGATCTTCCACCACAGCTGGTATAGAAACTGGAGGGTGAAGTCACTTTGGCGTAGTGGAGTGACAACTTCCCGATGGTTCATTAGGCAGTCGTCTATGTATGCCTCGAACTGAATGTCCCGACGATGGAGGTACGAGGCTATCAGCTTGGTAATAACTCCATTCCACAGAGAATTATGGCTCAATGGTAACTCATCAGAAGCAAAGTTTGTTGTTTTACTTCTGGTAACCCACCGGAGAGTATCGTATCACAGTCCGATGAATCTGATTTGTGTTTGTCGACTATCAGGTCAGTGTCCGACGTGTCGAGCATGATCCAATGACGCGAAATCGTCCGATGAAGGAACTAAGCTCAGAGCCTAGTTCGCCATCGGACGCCATTTCCGGTCGCAAGTCGGGTCCGATGTGTGTCGGAATCGTGTTGTGCAACTATCGGACGTGTCTAGCCGACGTCTGACGGCAATCTGAAGAGTGTCCGATAATTAACAGTCATCTGACGCTCATCTGATTGCAATCTGCGGTCTGTCCGACGCGCCTTATAGCCGCCCATCACTAATTCGATTCTCATTGAAGGTTAACGTGATATTTAGCACCGCCCGATTGCTATCGGAAGGTAATCGCTCATTAACTCAACTGCCATCCGACACATATCGCATAGCAAGCGGTGACATCTGACGGCCAACAGACTATGAAAGGAGGGTCAGCCGACACCCACTTCGCAGATTTTCATCGGACACTACAGCACCAAGATCCTGAAGATGGCTCCAAGAAAGAACAGAAATGTTGGAGGACAGAAGGCAAAGAAGAGGCCTCCCAGCACTCCTCAACAATCTCAAGTGCCAGAAGACTTCTCTGTGCCTCCTCCTGAAGATGAAGAGACGGAGGCTAGGCCTATTCAGGCCCCAATCACTGCTCAGCCACACGGCTCTCCCTGCATCTTGTTGCATAGTTTGTTGCTGGAGCATAAAAACACAGCCCAGGGCTGCAGAGTTGCGAAGAAGTTGATCCATGTCTAGTACTGTAAAGAGGTGCAGCCCGTTTTTATACTCGACTGCCGATTTGGGCGACAAATCCGACCAGTATTGGATCAGTGTACGATTACGCTACGAATAATAACCAATGTGTCGGATTGCTGTCGGGAGAGTGTTGGAAGTGTCAGATTAGTGTCAGGTCACCCTTGAATTACAATTCAACCGCAATCAATCAATCGGACGTCGCCGATGAAAATGGTGGACAGACATCGGGACGCTACCAGTCTTTCATACGATTACCCCGATCAATGTTGGATCTTTATCGGATTTTATGGAAAATGGGGACTCAAAAAAGAGGATGTCGGGTTAATTTTCATCGGAACTCATCGGAACGCTGAAATGTTTGCAAAATTGGGATCAGATGGGCTTCAGATCAGGTTCCGATGGTCAGTGGAATTGGGGTATAAGCCGTGTGAGTAGCCACTGGGCAGAAGAGATGAGAAACTCCCGCCTGGATCCGGGATCGCAGTAGTCATCGTGAAATAAGGTGGACGCGCCAGGTAGCGTTTGTTGAAAGCAGCGAGGTTGTGGATTATCCTGTGTTTGTCCGAGTCCTTCTTGGGGACCAGGAAGACAGGTGAATAGAAGCCCGGTGTTATGGCTGGGGCGTGTACAACCTCTATGGCTTTCTTGTCTAGCAGCGCTGTGATGTTCCGGCTCAGTAGATGCTGTTGAGTAGGGGGATATGGGTCCATTATGGGGAACGATGTGAGTCGTGGGTCGTCTATAAGCGTCAGCTTGTACCTGTGTGAGATGATGTTTATGAGATGATGTTGGTTTCCCACCTACTGGGGTGTCGACAACTTGGACGGCTGGGGGTAGGAGGTCCCCTGTTTGTTTTCAGTATCGGCATGCGCTGTCAGTGAAATTGGGTTCATGAAAATGTGCATGTTATTTTTACAGTTTTCCAGTTACACGACCGCGTGTCAGGTTAATGTGGGAGGAAAGCCCGAAGTGATGCAGGTCTCAGACGTTTACCACTTTGGTGAAACCCACGAGCACGGGTATAGTGCTGACAAACCTAGAAACATAATCGGGACGAACCGGGATTCGAACCCACAATCATAGGTTCCTGGCGTGCCCAAGGGACGCAACTCTGCACAGCGAATCACGGCGCCTTAGACGACTGTGCCACCTGTGCCCCCTAATTGTAATGGACCAGTCTGGTATGTAACGGCTCAAAAATACAATTTAGGTTGAATCGCACGACTGGTATCAAGCATGATTTATATTTGAAATGACACGGACGTTATTGTGTCAAGCATTGTTGATATTTGAAACCCAAACCAGGGAGCGTTCTTTTTAGGAATGCAGATGAAGTGATTAAAGTCGTGGGAGCTCGTACAAATACATTGACTAGAAACAGATGGGACACGAATAAGCGACAAAAAGCATTCCACAATCTTGAAAAGATTCTGCCACAGCAGAGCCCATTGTACGAATCCGACTACATGTATGTCATAACCTTTATATAAACGCCTTGATTGTTGTAACCCTGATTAAACATCTTTTGAGCAAAAGTCGCATGGCGCTCTTTGAAAAAGCGCTTGGCCTTGCGGGGTCTTTAACAGACCTGTTACATCAGATATTAAAACACAGTAATACATTCCTTATGTAGCGGCTATTTTTAACGACAAGGAACGAATGATCCATTTGGAGTCATCAGCATAACAGACATCATTTGAATGTTTTATAACATCTGACATATATTGGGCATGTGCTGAAACGCACAAACAGATCCCATTTCGTGAGGCTGGTATATCATTTAATAATTTTCTTGAACTGTGCATTCGAGTTGTCAGATTATATGTGAACATGTGACTGCTGTGAAGCGTAATTACAAACAAAACTATGTTTGGAATATATACAAGGAATATATAATATATATCCTTGTTGACTAGTTCTTACAAATAAGTAGTGAATAGGGTTAATCAGGATCGAAGAACATACATTGATCTACTTCAAGAATACATGACATGGACTGATCAATTGTTTGATAGGCATTTCTGCGAAGTTGACGGATGACAACGTGGACACAATTTTAATATTAATAACATCTTCTTTAATATACTCTTAAATAGTAATCAACTCATTAATGAATAATAATTAGCATACACAAAACAATATGTCTAGTTATGTATTGCAAAGCAACGCGCGTACGTGTTAGCTAACATGTAGCAATCAAACACACTAATATGATTATCTATATACTTACATTCTCCTTGAGCATTTCTGTAGACCCTGTGGTATCTACATATACCATGGCCATTTATAGGTTGTGAACAAGAATACTTGAAACCAGGCTTACATATACTGACCAATCAGATTACTCGCAGTTACGTACTTGTTTGTGTAGTTCAGGATGCATTTATTTTGTGGTCTCCAAAACTCCAAGAAATAATCTTTTCATCCGTATACTTCCTGGTATGGAAGGCAGGTTTTTGGTACAGCATTCGCTGCAGACTTAGTCACTTACTTATTGTTAAATCAGTGTAAACAAAAAACGCCAACAGGCCCGACCACACAACTCTCTTATCTCCTAGTCTATTCGTGTACAAGTGACAGTATCACCCCAACAGCCATGTAGCTCTTGAAACCATTCGTTGAAACAGTCTAGCCATTCATTGAACAAACATCAACCAGTTATGTTTCTAGGTTTGTCAGCACCATACCCGTACTCGTGGGTTTCACCGAAGTGGTAAACGTCTGAGACCAGCATCACTTCGGGCTTTCCTCCCACATTAAGCTGACACGCCATGATATAACTGGAATAGTGTTAAAAGCGGCATAAACCCCAACTCACGTACTTGTGGATTGGTAATGCAACTGTTTTCATTAAGTACTTTCGCATGCGTGCCATTGATATGTTTCATCAGAAATTGCATTCAGATATTTACGAAAGTTCAAGATGTGATGCTTATCGCCAGTTCAAGTCATTGGTTGAACTAGAATCTTATGTATCAAACCTACGGTACAGGATTTTTCGTAACATCATTATTCGTTTTAGATTTGGCCTGAATGATCTAAAAATTAACACAAGGATATTTTCATTTATTGAGAAATTCCTAGGGTTATGCCCATTCTGTGACATTGTTGTCGAAGATGAATACCATTTAATGTTTATTTGCCCTATGTACGAAAATCTAAGAAACCCGTACTTATAGCAGTGGTCTTTATCTCATTTTAATGCTATAAGAGTGTCTTCATTACTGTCCTGCAAGAATCTTCTAACACAACATCAGCTGGCTTTGTACATACATCATGCGTTTTTGTTACGAAGTGAATTGTTACCTTGACTTTGTATCTTATAAAATATGTTAGGTAACTCCCTTGTGTATGGGCCTGTGGCCTTAAATACAATAAAGAATTGAATTGAATTGAGTGTGAGTGTGTATGAATGTGTGTATGTGTTTGTATGAGTGAGTGTGAGTGTGTATGTGTGTATGTATGAGTGTATGTGTGCGTGTGTATGTGTGTGTGTGTGCGTGCGTGCGTGCGTGCGTGTGTGTGTGTGTGTGTGACGTCCTTGGATCGACTCACCGATTTTGCCCTCTCCGGGCAGACATTCTGTCTACTAAACCATGAAGGTGTTCTAAAATCTATGATGTTCGTACCATTTGTTGGTAGAATATTTCCCTGCATCAAAATTGAGATTTGAGTAGAAGACTTTTTCCTGTTTATGTATCACAAAAACGTTTCCTGAAAATCCCTGAAATCATTTTCTTGGCCTCGATATATCTTGAAGTCTATTTGACATTCATTTGAACATATGAACAATGTTTGGTTCATTCTATTTAAATTTGCAGACCGTGTGACGAAAAGTGTATTGTTGTTACCCTGTCGTGGTTTGTATTTATCGAGTAAAAAACAAAAAGTTATGTTTCAACTGTGCGGCAATCACATGAATAACACTGAATGTATTTGTGGATTTTGATGTTGATATTCCAATGACATTGACGTTCTCATTACATAATTCCTTTTATTGGTTCCAGTACTATTTTCACTGTATCAAAAACCAAAACTATGAATCAATATTTCTAATGCAAATGTATTAAAGCTTCATACAAAAAGCCTCACACGCACATGAAGGCTATCAGCTAATGTAGAAAATCAAACTAAAATGTAAACCTTTTTAAACTAAAAAAACTTCTTCCCGATCTCTTCATTTGCTGATAAACCAGGAACATATCCTTTGATCAATATTACCAAATCACGCTACTTAGACTACAAATACGTATATCTTTGTCCAATGATAAGAAATCTAATCTGTTAATCGATCGTTCAGTTAGCTTGGCACACGCTTTGTAAACTCTCTCATTTATTCTCGTAGCACTCCATGCACTTCTTTGTAAAGTATGTCATTTATTCTCGAAGCAGTCCATGCACTTCCTTATCTTAATACTACATGTCTGCTCCTCAAATAAACACAATCACATGATGGGCATTTTTTGTGGAACATGTTACAGTAGATGACCGAAGATAGTCATGTTAAAAACATGGCTTCGCAAATGAAATGTCTCCCACAGAATGGTCTGTCCCTCAGGACTACATGTTGCTACATTTCTGTCTCTAAATAGTAGCTTCATAAGGTTTATCTATAAAATAACACTTTGATACTCTCGATATTTCCAAGCATGGCATGTCCTAGTAACCTGAATTGCCTATGTGGCCTACGTAGCCCAGGTTCGATTCACAACATGGGTACAATGTGTGAAGGGAACAAACCTAATTCTGGTGTCCCCCGCCGTGATATTGTATGAATATTGCTAAATGCGGAGTAAAACCATACTCACTCACTCACTCTTATCTCGAATATACGTGGTCAATTACATGGTACATGTGATATAAATACTGTAAATCATGATATTAATAAGAACATGAAATCCATGCGAAGAGCCCGAATTCTTGCTCGCATGAATAAAGTGCCACTTTTTTGCCTGGACATTCTGGAGTATGTTGTCATACTGTTTTGGACGGCTCGCATACAAAGATAAAAACGTTAGGTTGTTTTAAGTTTACGTCTTATTTCCAGATATTCCAATTACTTTTAAGAGCATTTCATGTATTCTGGAGTTCAGTTGCAGAATCAGTAAAGTGGACAGTGTCATCAGCATACATTCAAGTATTCAGAAACACATAATTTACATGTAAATCGTTCCCATCGCCAATGTTAAAAGTCCTACATCGGTCTTTCATGAGGATTTTTTCGAGATCATTGATAAAGTGACAAAATAAGAAAGGTGATAAATTGTCTCATTCCCGGACGCCTGAATAACACGGGCATAATCTGAAACAACACCGTTTACAGACGCACATGATCTTATATTTACACATACATTTATGAAGAATTTACCTTTAATACCTTAATACTTTATGCCGTAACCCGACTCTCCGCATACAAATGTGTTATCAGTTGTAGAGTAACCCTGTTTAAATCCGGCTTGCGCCGAAGTTAAGACATTTTTCTATCTCTAGGATTTTGTTTAACCTATCATTGAGAACAGTGGTGAAATTTTTTCCAAAGCAGCTAAGTATTGTAATATTCTCTTGAATAAAAGAAACGCACGGGTAGATTTTAAGTAAATTTATTGTACCTAAAAAAAATTGACACTGACTTTCAAAATGTAAGATAATGCGATTGTTTCAAAATAGGACACCGAAACCATAATTGAAACACTGTTTGAAGATCAATGTACACAATGTTCAAAACATTAATCGTGTCACCTGGACAGACACACGTACACGATACAGTTAATGTCACAGGGGTACAGAAAATGTTAGTATCGGTTGTGCCCACCACGTGCATCAATCACCGCTTGACATCGACGACCCATAGATGCAATCAAGTTGTCAATAACACGCTGTTGGATGTGCTGCCATTCATGCTGAAGTGCATCAAGCAGCGCCGGAAGTGTTTGGGGCGTGGATTCCTTCTGCGAACGCGTCGATCCAACTCGTCCCACAGATGCTCAATCGGGGACAAATCTGGTGACCGGGCTGGCCAAGGTAATATCTGGATGTTGTTGTGCTGTAAGAAGTCCTGACAAACACGTGCAATATGCGGTCGAGCGTTGTCCTGCTGGAACTGTCCGCCATAAACGTTGACGTGAGGATGAACGTAAGGCTGTAGACTCAAGTCTCTGTAACGCACACCTGTCAATGCACCTGCCACAAGCACGAGAGGCGTCCTACCACCGTGATGAATTCCAGCCCATACCATAACACTCCCGCCGCCAAATGGGACAACCTGCTGCACACAGTTGGGGGCGTAACGTTCACCCCGACGTCTATAGACACGTGCGCGCCCATCAGCACGTGTGAGTAGGAAACGGGACTCGTTAGTAAACAGTACATTTCTCCACCTTGTACGTACCCATCTAACCCTCTGTTGGCACCAAAGCTTCTTGCTGAGTTGCTCCAGCTTGTAATCGTTGTTCCGTTGAGCTGCATTCAGTCTTGGCATTCTGTCACCGCCTCTACTACCGTTATAAGGACTGTATGAACAGCCGTTGATTTGGATTTTTATACCCATTCAGCAGGGGGCCTGCATGCCTAAATGCAGGATCCTGTGCTGCACGTTTTTTACAGGCGGTTGCGTTTGGATGAAGCTGTAAAATTGATCCCCAAACGCTACGTTTATGTGCTTTGCATGTGTTTTCGTGAATTATAGACACATCATCTTTCTGTTTGACTTATTTGGTTCTCATTTAATGTAATTATTTTAGATATTTGGCAAAAAGTGGTTTTACATCTGTCAAGTTTCTTTTTTTGAAAAGTATATTAAATTTAATATCATAGATACAAATATGAAATTTTGGAGCTCGATCGTCACATAATGTCGTTGTACAAAAGCACTGAAAACTGTTTATTGTCGTTTCACATAAGGCCACGAGGTTGCGCTGAACTCGTATCTCGTGTGACCGCCCCAGGCAGCAGTCACGGCTCTGCATCTCCTCGGCTTCTCCATTCTGCTTGTAACGCGTTGGCTAGTTGTGGGAGTGTCTGCGGCGTGTTCTGACGTTGACGTACACGTCGATCGAGTTCATCCCAGAGGTGTTTGAATGGGTTGAGATGTGGAGATCTTGACGGCCAGGGCAAGCCTTTCATGTTGGTATTATGAAGGTAGTCTACCGTGACACGAGCATGTAGCGATTTGCTGTCAAATTTCCCTGAACCACAACCAAGTCAGATCTCGTGGTGTAGGATATGGCTTGCAGTCTCCGTAGCTGTGGCATTGCGATGACGTAGGTGGAACAGTCGAGTGTAGCGATCCTGTGCATGGACAGTGA